GGGGGCAGCATCCTCCTCCTCCTCCACGACGCCGCCATGTCGGGGAACGACGACGACAGCCCCGGTGGGTCTCACTACGTGGCAGAGTTCGTGCCTCCGCCCGAGTGCCCGGTCTTCGAGCCCAGCTGGGAGGAGTTCAGCGACCCCCTCGGCTTCATCGGCCGAATCCGACCCTTGGCCGAGAAAACCGGCATCTGCAAGATCAGGCCGCCCAAGGTACTCACGCTGTGGACGAGGCTCTGGGGCTCTTGAGGGATTATGCCTGGGCTCGGGATGGAGATGATTGGGGGAGGGGGGGGGCTCATCCGGATCTCGCCTTTCTTAGAAGTCGCCTTTTATCTTCCTTTACGCCCAAGCCGGCAACGCCATCAGCCGCTCCCATCCTACCTCTGATCCTGGTTGGCAAACGATTGCCCTTTAAAAAGACGCCAAAAGCAGCCTCGGCCCTCATTCGGCCTTTTTTTCCTACTGTTTCCCCGAGTCTTTAAAGGCCTTCTCGTTTACCATTATTTGCATTTCTTTTATGGGGCGGTAGATCAATAACTGTAGCAGCAGGAAGGAGACCATAAGCGATAGGATTTTACATTTGGTCACAGTAAACAAAAGGTCTTGGGGCCCCCATAAGCAATTTTAAAAAAATCTTTTAAGTTGCTGTTAGGCTTTTCTGCTTTTGTTGCCACAGACTAGTATAGGTCCTTCCACTAGAAATTTTTAAAGTGCATATTAAAATATGTCGGAATGCCAAAAGGTAGATATTTAAAAAGAAAAAAGGAACAGAGAATAGAAAGGGGAAGGGGGAAACGGATGATTAGAGGTGGGGCTCTGAAGTAGTAGTATTATTAAAGAAGAGTGACATATGAGATACTGTAATTGTACTCAATATGGCGAGATCATCTGGTTGTATTCTGTTTGGAAAGGATCTGGTTGTCGATTTTGACCATACAGAATTGTATTATTTTTGTTTCAAGCCTTTCAGGTTTGTAAAGTATGTAGAGATTTCCATCAGTTAGTTAGTTAGGCATCCTTCAGTCTCGAGAGACTATGGTAACGTGCTCTGTATGAACTTGGACTTGGAGCAGCGGCTAGTGTGGCTGAGAAGGCCAATTTGAGAGTGACAGTCTCTTCCACACTGAAGACAAGATTTCCATCAACACCTTGTGTAAATCGATATGGTAAAGTAGTGCAGCATTGCCTCTTTGCTGTTTTTTTTTAATCTAAGGCCGGCACACTATGTAACAGGGTAGGCAGACTTCAGCCTTGTGAGATCTATTTTATTTTTTTTGTTGGGGCCTCTGATTCACTGACTGGAACTAAGCATAAAAGAAGTACTGTATTTAGAATTAAATAGTTCTTAGTCCAGGAACTTGTTTATTTCTCTTTTCTCCTTAAAAAGGACTCAAGGCAGCTTACATCCTTGAAATACAATACAGTATTTAAAGCTGAATACAATGTGTATACAACGATGGTTTACATAATTAAAAAACAATATTAAAGCTGTAACAAGTATGCAAATATTAAAAGGAACAAATAAATACCACTCTGAGAGATGGTAAAAACAAGTACTGTAGTACTAAAGACCCAGTTGGAGCAGTAATGCGTAACAATGAATCTAAAAGTCACTCATGTAGGCAGTTACTGAGAGAAAACTTGTCTGAAGAGGGAGCTCTTGGCCTGCTTTCAGAATAACAGCAAAGGTGGGGCTATCCTGGCCTCCTGTGGAAGAGAGTTCCAAAGTCTTGTTTTGTATACCAGGAAGGAATATAGCCTATAGCTTTCTGAAATAAACATCTTCTCTTTGTTACCCCAAATTTGCTTGATTTCTCCAGTTTAATTTATGAGTGAGAATGAGGCAGTCATTTTGTTGCTCCTGTTAAGGAGCTGAAAATCTGAAATGCTTGTTGATCCACTGGAAATCAGACAGATCAGTCAGTAGATGCCAATCTACCTTTTGCCTATTTATGTTCTTCAGCACATAAACATAGAATAGTTCAAGCTCCATAGCTGTTCTTGGGGATGTCAGCCTTGAGGAAGTGTTAATTGTTTGTGTCATTTCCAATTTATACTGTATAGCTTCTCTGTGTTAAAACATCACTTCAAAATATGAGTAGTGAGTATTTTAATTAAAGAAAGCTCCTTTCAGGAGGTTACATTGCATGGTACTCCCTTGAATCAACCTCCTTCTGATATCTAGAGGATGGAATCCAATTGCTGCATTCTGCTTGGAACGTTGCTCAATCCCCTTCACCATCCAACATCAGTCCTGCTTTCTGTCTTTGCTACATTGTCTTTTTATGAACTTTCAATGATGTTTTCTAGTGTTTGAGTCATCCCATTTCATTCTGTGGATATGGTCTGTTAGATGTTCTGTTCTCTCCCTACTTTTTAATCTTCTGTCCCAGAAACTGAAGAATGGGGAGAGTAGTTATCATTAGAACACTAGGCTTTTTCTGTGACCCGACTTACTGTGGCTTTAACAGTTGTTCGATAATCAAGAATTCAGTTGGAGTCAGGTGACCTATCTGAAGAATTGACAGTTGTTTCTCTTACTAGGTGATTTCTATGTCCCAATTTTGGAAGTGAGTAGCTTCTAAACTGGGTAGATAAATGTTGTGAGGTACTAGAATTGTTTATAATTATTTTACAGTTTATGGCATTTTTTACAGGTAAGAATTATTGCAGAAGGACTGTTGTATTTGACCCTCACTCTTGGGGACCATGAAGAGATTTGTAGTAAAAAAAAAGTTGCTTCTAAAATGTATTGCCCCCTCCCCATCTTTTTATTCAGAACATCACTTAAATGCAATTAGAGAAGATTACTACATTTAAATGTTGAAAATGATCCCATTCTTTGAATGTGATGATAATGCTAGATGCTAGGAAAATTACAGTGGTTAAGACTTATATCAGTTTGTACTGAGAGTTGTGCTGTATTTTGCAAGGCAGCTAACTTCTAAGCTGCACAGATTTCTCAGGCACAAAATAATATATGCCTTAATAAAGGGTGGTAACAATGAATAAAGATTTTAAAAAGTGCTTGAGGCAGTTGAAGTCTAGTCATGTCCAAATGCTGAAAAAGCTATAATTAACTTCTGTAGCTCTTCTATGCTTTTTTTTCTCCTTTTCTTTTCACAAGCTTACTGTTCTTTGGGGATACACCTCTTTAGCCTTACAGCATGTAGCTCTGAAAACAGATGCCTATTTTAGGACCACATCAAGTATGTTGTCTGGAGTGTCTGCTGGGGCCTGAAAGAGTCACTCAGAATTTTGTTCAAATTCTTTTTTGCTTATTAGTTGCATAACGGGCAGGTTATACTGTTAGGTAACAATTTAAAACTTGTCAGTGAAAAATAACTTAATTTATTAAATGTTCAGGCCTGTCCAAATCATGTGTTTATTCCCTGGCATGTATATGCTTTAGCATTGTTGTTAAGTGCATTCTGACTGCTAAATCAGTGGAACTTACATATGTAATTGATGATTTGACAAGTGCCGTTCATTAAGGTAGGTCTATTGCAGTTGGGACTAACACGTGAATTTAGCCTTTGGTGTTTTAAAATATAAATTTTTTTGCCAATGTCAGTTGTTTGTTTTCCTGTGGCATCTGTTTTATATTTCTGTCTGAGATCCTGTTGCATAACTTGATGTCAGGCTGATGTCATCATCAATCCCAGCAGCTTTTTGGAAATTAAAAACTTCCAAATCCTCCCCAAAGGTTCTGAGGCTTCTGTGGGATTTCTTTCATTGTGGGAAAGTTTAGGGATAGGAAGGGGGTCTTTAATTGGTTTACTGTTTTTCTGTTGGCAGCGATTTTTGGAAATTAAAAGACCTCCCCCCCCCCAAGTTCTGTTATCGCCATTGACTTTCCCATGATGAAAGGGGGAAGCTGTTGGAGGCAACAGGATTTCAACCAATTAGCTACATTTCATGAAGTCAAAGACTAAGCAAGATTAGGCAACTTAAGGAAGATCTGGTCTTACTCTGTAAAGTACTTTTGCTAGTTCTGTGTTTCTCATATGCCTCTTTCACAGAAGTGAACTGAAATAGGAGTCTTCCCTAGATTTCAAATTATGTTCCTTATCATACCCCTTAGCATTGCATGAGTGTGGAATTGTGTCTGTGGCTTTTAAGCCAAATAGATTCTCAAATGAATAGACATTCTGACTTGTTTCTATCAGTTCCAAAGTGAATAAAGATTATTTTAAAGAAGCCTCTTGATACTTAATACGACAATTATAATCCAAGTACTTCCAGCCATGTGCATTGATGACTTGTGTATAGTAAGGAAAATCAATTTTTTTAAATTGAAGGATTGTATTTTGATATGTACTTTCTCTCTTTTCTCAGGACTGGCAGCCTCCTTTTGCATGTGATGTGCAAAATTTTTGTTTTACCCCACGGGTTCAGCGCTTGAATGAACTGGAGGTGAGTTGTTAAAGCATTGGCATGAATCTGTATCTAAAAATGTTAGACTTCATGATTTAGTTTGTCCATTGTTGGTTTAAGTCACTCACAGAACGTAATGCTTTTTCATGAGTTTCATTGAACTCATTTGAATAAAATAAGTTTCAATTGTTGTGAGTGATCTCAGATTTTATTAGCACATACCGTGTTTTGCTAGAAATGTGCAGTAACTAGTATCTGAAACACAGTTGCTAGACACAGTAGTTTTGTTTGGATATTCCCACTTGTATGAGTTGGTAGCATGAGAATCTCTGTTTGTCCAATTCCAGTGTCATGCTCCTGATGATAGGGCCCTGTTGCTCTGCAATTGGGAGCCTGCTGTACTTATATAAGTTTCCATAAATTTATATAAAGGGAGGCTGTGCTAACAGAAAAATCTCTCTGATGTAGGAATTTGCTTCCAATTAAATATTACTCTTTGAATTATGATTTTGGAATTAGTGCCAGCTATAACTGAGTCTAGAAAGTTGGCAGTTGAACATTACAAGAATGACTCTTGTGCCCCCCCCCCGGGCATCAACAACAACTCTCCCTTTCTTCAGCATTAGAGCCACAATGAGCTGTTTGGAGGTGGGGTGTTTTTTTTTTTTTTGCTTTCATTTTTTATTTAGTAGTTTGTTGCATCATCCAAACCCAAAACATTTTGATTACTTCAAAAGCCATCCTTGCAAGGTGAAGGCACAATGCTAAATGAAGCTTGCTGCAATTTCTTCTCATAATACTAAACCATGGATGCATCAGAATTAATGTCACATCATAATGAGGCCTCAGACTCTGCTTAGTTCTTGTGTTGTGAGAGGAATTCCTGTATTGTTTTAGTACAGAGGTCTCCAAACTACGGCCTGCAGGCCACATCTGGCCTGCCTTGCTGTTTTATCCAGCCTCTTCCCTTCAGCCCATGTGTGCAGGGCGGGCATGTGGGCTTCCATGCATGTAGGGGGCGGCCACATGTATGCACACCCATAATCCTTCAGTCCTGAAAAATTTTGAAAATATATGATGTGGCCCTCACTCTCAAAGATTTGGAGACCCCTGTTTTAGTATATGAAGTTGCTGTTCAGTTTCATATCTTTATTTTCTTAGGCAGTGTTTTGGAACCAGGGCTAGACAAAATGCAACCCAGGGTCCTCCTTAAGCAAGAAATTGAAAAAAAGAAAAGCTTTTTGTTTAGATCACAATTCTGTCTCCCCATGTCTGTAACATGTACACATCCATTTCTCAAAACTAGAAGCCAACCTTTAGCCACTTTAGGTTACCTTTTTTGGCATTTTGGATAACCTATGTGGCCTTTCTAATGTTTCAGAGGTGAGAAACCAGCTCCTGAAACCAACTGAGTTGCCATTTCTGCCTGAGACAATGCACATGTAGTTTCTAAGAGTCTCTTTAGCCGTCTAAAGAAAGGAAATATCAGGCATTTTTATAAAGGCATTGTTTTTTATTATATTTGAATTCATCATAGTGAGAAAGTATAGAAAGCTTATATTCAGTTTTTATGTTCTTGTCTATCATAAAATGAAATGACTGTATTCTGCATTTATGCGTTCTGTTCTTTACGTTTTGTAGGCTTTCAGGACAGATGAGCTGATTGAACTTGTGTTTTTTTCTGTGTACAGTATATTTCCTACTTGTAACTTGTACAACATTCATCTTCTGCTTTGTTTTGTTAATAGGCAATGACTAGAGTGAAGCTGGACTTCCTAGATCAGCTGGCAAAGTTTTGGGAACTTCAAGGGTCTACGTTAAAAATTCCAGTAGTAGAAAGAAAAATATTGGATCTTTATTCATTGAGCAAGGTGAGTTGGGATCTACATTGGCTAGGCAAGGCAAGGGTAGTTCATAGCTTTCGCAGCTTCAGTTGGGAACACAGCTGTGTGTGAAGAACTATTCTGTTTTGTTCCTTAAGCTCTGAACAATGCATAGTTACCATTGATACTTTTCCCTCACCTTGCTTCCCAGTGTTAATTGCATTGCTTTTTCTTTGGGCACTTAAGCAACAAGAGTTTTGTAGCACAGGGGTTTACAGAATCATCTAAATTCAATTGTTAATCTCGACCAGAATAGACCGATAGGATAAGGGCAACTCATAAATATGAAATCTCCATGGACTGAGTGGAACTACTGTGGCTAGTACTCACAATTGTATTTAAGCTTGAACCAGCAACTGACAATACTTTAGTCTTTGAGGTTTCCAATGTCCTTTGTTAGTTTCACTTCAAGTGACTCGAAAAAGAGTTCTACTCAGTGGCAGGGCATTTGATTTTGTGCTATTGCTTTCCTGTAAACCACCACAGGTTAAATGCTTGCAATCTCCAGGCCTGTCTGAAATTTGGGAGAGCTGCTGCTAGTTAGCGTAGACAATAATGGACCAGTGATAGCTCAGTGGCTTAGGCATCTGGCTGTGGAGCCAGAGGTTGGGAGTTCAATTCCCCAATGTACTTCCTTGACAGGGGCTGGATGGACAATTTATAGGGCCCCTTCCATCTCTGTAGTTCTAAGATGATGACTATACGATATATGACAAGATGTTATTTGCTTTACCTGCACAGCAGTTTTTTTTAGTATCTCAAGACCAATTTATTCACAGTGTAATTGAAGAATGTAGGGAATTATGGTTTTATAGCAATGTACCCATGTATTTAAAAATACTTTATTGAGAATACATCTAGGAGAAGGAAAACTCCGATTTCAAACCTCCACTGCTTTGTGGCTATATCCACTCATGGAAAAGGCTTCAGGAGTTAACCTCGAGGCAAAATCTGGAGCTGGAGTCCCGAAGGCAGCTTGTGTCGTTCTGCCAACTCCTGCGACGTTGCTGGAACCAGTCGTATTGGCTCTTGCCTTTCCATTGGACCATTTCAGCAATGTGGAGAGGGGGGATCTGCTGCTTGGGTAACAGCCTATCCTCCATATTACCTTACCCGGGCTTCCTGCTCTGGAGAGGACACTCCTCGACTCAGAGCATGTTACCATAGTCTCTCGAGACTGAAGGATGCCTATACAAATACAGTGTAGCTGATTTTAGAAATGTTTGAAACATTGTAAGCCAGTTTTTTCACAGTATGTGGTAACATAAACCTAGATTTAAGATTGTGGAGCTTTTATTTATACAATAAAAACAAATACTTGCAGTCAGAAAAAAAAATCCAAGCTAGACAATCCAAGCTAGACAATCCAAGCTGTGATATTTATCTAATTGCCTTCTCAAAATGTGCCTCTTTGCTTGGAGAAAAGATCTTGCCTGGTGATATACAGAGGTTGTGGCCCTGTTGAGTGGTAGTTTGTATTGAGAAAGTTGGACAAGATTTAAAGAAAGAAATATGGTAAGCACTGTGCAGCCAGCAGTGGCCTTGCTGCTTTCACGGTCTGTTCTTTCAGTCAAATAAATAGTTGTTTTATAGAGATAAGGAGGTTCTAAATTTTTTTGCCATCACATTCCACTTTTTGATTCTTAGAAACTCCCTGGGCTTCTCAGGTCTTACCCAGCCCCTTTTAGCATAAAATTCAGTTCATAGTGTAAAATGAAAAGTAAATAGTCTTTTTAAAATAAAATTGAGCACAAATGATGTTCTCATGTTTAAAAAGTGATTTTTCTTCAGAAACAGAAGAAACAAACCAAACTCAATGTGAAGGATGCTGTTGCACCTGTCCCCTTGGATTTTCTTCCTGCCTCTGTTGAGAGGCATGCCTCTCAGTTTGAGAATACATTTTCTAAAGGGCAGGAACAAAATCAGTTAGTACTACAGCAACAATCTTGATCATGGAAGATGTGAACTGTTCTACTTGATATAGTAATTTACTGCCCAGGGACTCCTTGCAAAAGTACTCTGTAAAACTTCTCAAGTCTTGACCTCCAGGTCTTTTGATTCTTAAGCTGACTACACAATCATTTAAATTAATACAGTTTATAAGACTGTCATTCATGTTTGGCATATCTAGTATATGTGCATGTTTATGGCTGCTGTTAGTGAGCTCATTCTCTTTCAGATACCTGAGGGAATTCTGGCTTTTCTAATTCTGGGTATCCAGATCATCTTTTTATATATTCAGATTTTGGAGGGAAAATGAATGTCTGCAAGACCAGAAAAATTCCTGTACCATCAAGTTGATACTTTGGTGCTTCATACTTGAGACTGGTCCTGTTTTGTTTTTGTTTTTATAATAACAACCTACAGTAAACTTTCCATTTAACATCTCTTATGCTTTACTTTTTTAGATTGTTGCTAGCAAAGGAGGCTTTGAAATGGTCACTAAAGAGAAGAAATGGTCTAAAGTGGCTAGCCGCCTTGGTTATTTGCCAGGAAAGGCAACAGGCTCACTCCTGAAGTCTCACTATGAACGGATTCTGTATCCATACGAGCTTTTCCAGTCTGGTGTCAGCCTAATGGTGAGAAGGGTGTTTTTTGTTTTGTTTCATTTTGTTTTGCTGGGAGAGTCACATGAATTCATGTTAATGCAAGTGTGTTCTTTCTTTTTCCAGTACAGAAACTAAAAATATTGTGTGGTAGTGTGATTGTGCCTGGTACATTTTCTTTGTATATTTGAGGTATATTTGAGGCCAGAATAAGATGACCATATTCCTGAAAGATATGTGAACACAGGAGGAATTTTTAGCATTGCTTGGCTAGGCAGGAGAATGGAGACTCAATTTTATTCAGGTTCCATGATTGGGTAACCTCCCTGGTAGATGGTGGGAATTCTGTAGATGTACTGTACTGTATTTTGACTTAAGCAAAGACTTAGGCAAAGTGTCTCATGATAGTGTGGTTAGCAAACTAAACAGATGTGGGCTGGATAGAAAACTGTCAGGTGGGTACACATTTAGTTACATAATTGCACTCAGAGAGTGCTTATCAATGACTCCTCAAACTGGGAGGAGGGGACAAGTGGGGTATCACAAGGCTCAGTCCTGGGCCCAGTGTTCTTCAACATTTTTATTAATGTCTTGGATGAGGGGATGCAGTGAATAGTTATCAGATCTGTGGATAACACAAAATAGGAAGGGATAGCAAATGCTCTGGAAGAAAGGATCAAAATTCAAAAAGATATTGATAGACTGGAGCACTGGCCTGAAACCAACAGAATGAAATTAAATGGGGATAAGTGCAGATTTCTACACCGGAGTGTGTGTGTGTGGAGATCCAAATACCCAGTTACAAGATGTGGAATATTTTTCTCAGTAATACTGTGAGTGAGAAGGATCATAGAATTTTAGATCACAAATTGAGTATGTGCCAACAGTGTTGTTGTGGAATATTTTTCTCAGTAATACTGTGATTTTAGATCACAAATTGATTATGTGCCAACAGTGTTGTGGCTTCAAAAAAAAAAGGCAAATGTTATTTTAGGCTACATTAATAGAAGTGTAGTCTTCAAATTCCGTGAAGTACTAGTTCCTCTCTATTTAGCAATGGTTAGAATTCATTTTGAGTACTGGGTCCAATTCTGGATGTAGCACTTTTTGAAGGATGCTGACAAACTGGAACAGGTTCAGAGGACGGTAACAAGAATGATCATTGGACTAGAAGCCAAACCGTATGAGGAAAAATCGAAAGAACAGAGCATGTTTAGCCTTGAGGATAGAAGACTGAAGGGAGATATGATAGCACTTTTCAACTATTTGAAAGGTAGTCATACAGAGGGATGGATGTGCAGGACATGTAATAATGGGCTCAAGTTACAGGAAGCTAGATTTTGATTGAATATCAGGAAAAACTTCCTAACTGCTAGGGCAGTGTGACAATTGAAACAATAACCTTGGGAGTAATGAGCGGTCCAAAGCTGGAGGCATTCAAGAGAAAATTATATAACCATCTGTCAGATCTACTTTGATTTGGATTCCTACATTGAGCAGGGGGTTGGACTCAGTGGCCTTATAGGGTGCCTTCCAACTCATTTATTCTATGATTTTGCAATGACTCTATTCCAGATGACATTCATAATATAGTATGTCATTTTTGGTGGACCTTTTCCCTTGTTAGTGATGCTCATTTTGAAAATCAGAGTCTAACTTCCTGGATCCGACCAACCTGGTGTCCTTCTGTGCTCTGATTCTTTAGGGCATCCAAAAGCCAAACTTGGACCTTAAGGAAAAAGTGGAGGTTGAGGACCTCGGCATTGATGCCCAGTCTCCCCCCAAGCAGGGTACAAGAATGAACGTTGTGCTGAAGAGAACCAGACGTGTCAAGTCCCAGGTATCCCAATTATTTGGCCATTCTGGACAGAGTGCCTTTAGATGTCGCACCAGTGCAGAAGCACTGGAAATGCAACAGCCTTTGTCTGGCCTTGGGGGCTCATCCACACAAGTAGTCTGCTCAATAGAAAATACACAAAATTGTGCTCTGAGTTTATGCTGTATAGAGCTTGTCTGCCATGGTAGCTTAAATTAAGAACTGGGAATTCACTCGTTTTCTCTTTTGCCAGAACTTGGCTGGGTAGCCTTAAGCAGGCCAGTGTCTTTTAATTTTAGCTCCCTACTTGCTGCATTTTGAAATGATAAACCGATCTCCATTACTTGCAGTATATGAAATTATAAATAATAGTGGAATGTATGTTTGGGGGTACTCCTGGCCTGAATTCTATTGCTGTTTCTCTAAGATTTGCATACGTTACTGCTGCTGATTAACAGAGTGCTGCGGTGCATCCTGATTGAGTGACTGGTCATGTACCTGATTGCACAATTGAGATGTGCCCTGTTAATCTCCACAAGTTTTGTGGACCTTATGTGAACTCTAATAAGATTTGGAATCTTAAGGATGGTTACCTCTAGCCACGAAGAGAAATGTGCTTGAGAGGGCTTCCTCAGCAAATGTCTTTCTTCTGTTCAAACTCCCCACTTTCTTTTAAAATAACAGTGATATTTCTTGTGGGTTAACAGTGCTTCTCCAGGATCATACAGTGCCACAAACTTTTTGAACATCATATTTTTTTACGGCTTGAAAGAATCAAAAGGAAAACATTTTTGCCCAGCCTTGACAGCCTTGTTCTTTTCCCATAATTGTTTGTGTGCAAAATAAAAAGCTTGATCGTAGTGTGTTCACTACGTAGTGGTTTTCATTTTCTAAACCAATTCTCATGATTCACCTTGTTTTGCTGCTGTTTTTGAAACTGGATATGTAAATTAGCTAGACCATTCCCAATGGCACACATTTCTGGTGTAGAATGTTTTTCCCCAGACTCTCCTTATAGTTTCCTTTCAGGCCTAAGATAAAAAGTAGGTTTTTTATTCTTCTTTTTCTGCTTCTCTTTTCTCATGGGATTAGTAGCATGATATATATATCTTCCAAGATGTGTGCCCTATGAATGGAATACAAAAGATCTCTCCTAAAATTTATTAGAGATGAAAATAGGCTCCTTTTGGTCCTTTATGATTCAATGAACATTTTGCGCAGTTCTGGAAAAAAAATCTATGAACTTGTCCAAGTGGTTTAAATGTGTTTCTTTACTTATACATATTTTATACTGATTTTCTATAAAAATGCACGAAATAACATGCAACAGTTCAAACAACGGCATTCTGTTTAGAGAAATGCCCAGAGTAGCAAGAGTGGAAGTAACCAAAAGCTCAACAACCTTTTTGATACATTCCCTTATTCATCTTCTCCTAAGTTTGATTTTGCAGTCAAAATAAATCTTTGCTGTGTAAAACCTACTGAAATTGACAAAGAATTTGTGGACAGGTCAGTGGTGAAGTGTCAGTTTTTCAAGCAGAAGGGTCTAGAGTCAGTTTTGTCATTAAAAGGAAGGTAGTAGTAGATGATAGGGAAAACATGTGCTTGAATCCAAGGAGTGGCATTTCTAGTCAGAGAAGATAGTGCTGAGCTACATGGACAAATAGTCTGACTACTACTACTTCTTCATCTTAGAACTGCGGAGCTGGAAGAGACCCTATGGGACTTGAAATAATATAACTTTTGATATTCTTAATTTTATTTTAATGTTTTTATCATAAGCTACATTGACTACTTGTCATAGAAAAATGAGTTAGAAGTATTAAGCCAAAATAAAGCAAACATTTTCAGTAATGTTTCATTCTTTAGTAGAACTGTTAAATTCGCTCAGATGTCTAGCAAGTAAATCTAGTCAAACAGACATTTTTAAACTTGGCTGAACATATGTGCTTAACACTGCTACTAAAGTTTATGAGATCCCAGAGTTTATTGCTCTGACTAAATAGTGTTCTGAGATTTCAATTGAATATTATATTGATATTGTAATAAAATAGGTCAAATTCACAAATTTTGACTAGCCTCGGAAATAGAATTTATAGTTAGCAGTTGATCTTGCCCTTGGCCATCAGGACAGAAGAACTGCAAGAATTCATCTTTGCAGTTCTGGGCATTGGAGACACTGGGAAGCAACACAATTTTCACTGCTTCTGAAGCCTAGCTTAAAGTCAGAAAGCGAGCTTCCTCCTCGGTGTGCTTGGGCCAGTGCCAGAATAAAAGATATGCTGATACTGACCAAGGTCATTGTGGCCACACCTCCGCCATGGTGGTGTTCCAGAATTACACAACATAACAAAAGGGCTTTTAAATAATACTGACAATTGGCTGGAGATAATGTGTGGTGACTCTGCTTAAATGTGGTTAAGGGAGAAAAAAAGCTAGCTTTGGCAAATAGAATTCCCTCATTAGTTAGGATTCTTAGTAATTGCCAATTTCCCAGTTAAATGGAATGTATACCTTAATTAAGGAACTTGTAAAATCTGTAATCTGCTTTGCCTTAACTTATATTTATGTTGTAACATACTGCTTAACTGTACATCAGTAAGAAGGAGGAACTTGCTTTGGGGGCTTTTGCAGAATGGGGGAAAAGAGTACATGGTTCAATTTCTTAGCAGTTGAAACCAATTACCCTTTTTAGAAGGCTAATGCTAAATAAGTCATCAGCAGTCTTTTATCCTGCTCATGCATGTTGCTTGATCACTTGGCTTTTGTTCTAGTGGAAGCAGCTGAACAAATCAGGAATGTAACATAAAAAAATTACTGTTATGCCTGACATGTGATTGTCAATCTGAGCAAGTTAGGAAATTGTAGCCCCTATTTTTTTATTTAGGCGTGGCAGAGGAGTGACAAATCAAGGGTTCTGGTTCAAATGTTAAACTTTTTATCTGTGGATTGATTACAGGAAACTGAGATGGACCAATGGTCCATCATATTCTTATACTGTTGACACCAAGAGGTGCTCACTCTCCAGATTCAGGTTGTGACAGTCCAGTTTCAGACTGGATTTTTCCCACTTCCCCTTGCTGAAGATGCTGAGGATTTAACATCTTCATGCAAAACATGAGTGCCATGACTGTGTTGGTACTCCTTGATTTGTTTAGCTGCTGGTGCTGATGGGAGAAGCCAAGTGGTATGGATCAGACAGAGAATACCAGGGCACTGGTAAGCCAGGATTTTCTGAAATAGTGGCTTATCATAGTTTGTTTATTTATTAGAGTTATATATTGCCCATCTAGAATGTGTCTACTCTGGGTGGTTTACATATAATATAGAAAATAAACTAAGAAAAAATTGAGATTAATCCAAGACGGGAAAGGAAAAAAACAAAGAAAGAAAGAAAGAAAGAAGGGGAAAAGATGAGAAGAAAGAAAGAAAGAAAGAAAGAAAGAAAGAAAGAAAGAAAGAAAGAAAGAAAGAAAGGGGGAAAAGAGGAGGAGGAAGAAGGAGAGAACAGAAAAAGATGAAAAGGGGAGATAGAGGTAATGGTTGTAGGGAAGGCCTGCCTGTATAGCCATGTCTTCAAGTTAGTCTTGAAGTTCCTCAGCATGGGAGCCAGGCAGATCTCAATATGTAAGTTGTTCCAAAGGCAAGGGGCCACTGCCGAGAAGGTCCGATTTCTGTTTTTTTCCCACCGGGCCTCTCTTGGTGTTAGGCCCCTCAGCCTGACTGAGCACGTGATACAGGTAGAACTGGGCGGAAGAAGGCACTCTGCCAGGTATCGAGGTCCTAAACCGTTAAGGGCTTTGTATGTAATGATTAGCACCTTGAAATCAATGTGGAAGTGGATAGGTAGCCATGTAAGGTGGCCAAGGTGGGGGAAAATATGGTGAAATCTTTTCATCCATGCTAATAGCATGTCCACCATGTTCTGGACCATCTGGAGCTTCCACATCAGTCTCAAAGGAAGCCCCATGTAGAGAGTGTTACAGTAGTCTCTTCTTGTGCATGGACCAGCATAGTGAGTGTCCTGCGTCTAGACAAGGACGCAGCTGGGCGATCTGCCCAAGATGTAAGTGGGCAGACCAAACCGGGGACACTACCTGGGTCTCCATGGTAAGCGCCAGGTCAAGATGGACTCCCAGACTGCGAACCAAATTCTTTGTGGTGAGAGTCAGCCCCCCCAAAAGAGAGGGAGTTCCCCAAACCACTGACATTGGGGCCACCCACCCGGAGGACCTCCGTCTTATCCGGGTTCAACCTTAGTCCATTCGACTGCACCCATTGCAGAATGGCCTCCAGGCAGCACCCAAGGGACAGAACAACATCCACTGCAGATGGAAAAAAAGAGAGGTAGAGCTCAGTGTCATCAGCATATTGGTGACATGAAGCTCCACATCCCCGGATGACCCCCCTATGGCCTCATGCAGATGTTAAACAGCACTGGGGGGGATGATTGAATCCTGCAGAGGGGCCGCGGGGCCAATACATTCTCCCCGAGCTGCACTCTCTAGTGACCCCATTCAGGGCAGGGAGATGGCCCTCCAGCCTGTCTGGCGAAGCACCCACTAACAGCACTTCCGTCTTGTCTGGATTGAGTTTCAATTTATTGACCCTCATCCAGTCCATTATCAGGTCCAGACACGAGTTCAGCACAGAAACCGCCTCACCTGGATTGGTGGAAAAAGAGAGGTAGAGCTCAGTGTCATCAGCATATTGGTGACATGAAGCTCCGCATCCCCGGATGACCCCCCCCATGGCCTCATGCAGATGTTAAACAGCACTGGGGGGATGATTGAATCCTGCAGAGGCCCACAGCTGAGGGACCACGGGACCAATACATTCTCCCTGAGCTGTACTCTCTGGGGACGGCCGTCCAAGAAGGACCGGAGCCAAGCGAGAGCAAGGCGACCAGTCCCCAACTCAAAGAGCCTCCCCAGGAGGATGCTGTGGTCGATGGTATCAAAGGCGGCTGAGATATCAAGGAGGATGAGCAAGGACATTTTGCCCCTGTCAGACTCCCTAAGTAGGTCATACAGCAGGGTGACCAATGCCATTTCCATGCTGTGGTGCAGCCTGAAGCCCAACTGAAACAGATCCAGAGCATTGGTTTTATCCAAGAGAGTCTGAAGCTGGTCAGCCACCACCCTCTCAACTACCTTGCTGAGAAAAGAAACATTGGCGACAGGCCTATAATTGCCAATCATATGTTGATGTGACCACAAGCTAAGTATTTCTGAAGCTCACTGTGTCTGTTTTGAGCCTGTCTCTTTTTTTAGCAATAGCTTCTTTGCAAAAAGTAGGCTATCTTCTGAAATGAAAAATGATCATATTTAAGTCTTTTGAGAGATAAATCATTTCCTACACTTGCAAGAAATTGTGGATTGAGTCTTGACAGATGGAGTTGAAACAGTTGAATGTTGCTTCTCAGTATGAGGATAACAGCCTGGTATAGATAATAGTCCTATTTAGTCACTGCTTGCCCAGTTCTCTCCAACACCCTTAGATGGGATCTTCTAATCTTCTCCCTGTCAGTTATCATTTTCTCTGTATGGGGAGCGAAATGTTGACAGAGAAGAGATTCTTGGCTTGCATGGAGAATCTGCATGCAGGCAAGAACCTCTCTTCTACAGACATGTTACTTCTGTGTGGGAAGAAAGTGGTGATCAAAAGTGAGAGGTTAGGCCTTGCCCTCTAACCATGTTGGAGAGAACCTGGTAAGTAACAAATGAATTAGATATAGGACATTACAAAGTGCGGAGATGTACGTATATGTGTTTATATATCAATGTGAGATGCATAGAACATCAAGGCCTGAGACTGAACTTGATAATCTCAGACAGGTCCGTATTGTATCATAGAAATAAATACAACACAGAGAATGTGCGTTTTCACTCTTTGTTGTCAAAATAATCTCTTAATATCCGAAGCAATCTTTGTTTCAAGACTTCATTGAAAAATACATTAGCAGATAACACTGTAGAAATGGGATAGGAAATATGATCTAATTGTTATTTTTTTTCCTGCTGCCATTTTGCATCTGTGTGCCATACCAATGAAGGTAAATTGCATTAGTCATCAGAAATCTATTAAAAATGATGATGGTGATAAGGTATGTTGTATTTTGAAGTATCTGTTCTTAGCAATGACTTTGTAAATGCCAATGCCCATGAAGTTTTAAGTTTGATCCAGTTTCTGGCTCTGCTGGTTATAGTTATCTTCATGTAAATGCTCATGGTGGGTTGATGTGATCTTGTCTTCAGACAGAGGCTGGAGAGATGAATCGCAACACTGAACTGAAGAAGCTCCAGATCTTTGGAGCAGGACCAAAGATGATGGGATTAGCATTGGGAGCAAAGGAAAAAGAAGGTAAATACAGATTTTCAGTCACTGCAATTTGAGTGGGCTAACAGAAAATTAGCGTCTCTAATACAAAGCAAAGTGTGCTGTTTATATACCACCCGATTGTGCTTAGGGCACTCCCTGGGCAATTTACAATTACGCAGGCTGCACACTGTCCCCCACCCCCATTGAGCTGGATAGTTAATTTGCCAACCTCGGAAGGATGGAAGGCTGAGTCAGCCTTGAGATGGATACCTGAATCTGTTGTGATTGAATACAGGTGTGAGCAGAGTTTTGACAGCAGTACTACAGTTCAACCACTGTGCCATGATGCTCCTATCCTGTATCATATCTGATTATTCATGTGACCCTGTAGTAGCTTGTGTAAGGTGGTGATTTGGGCATTTAAAACCTTGGTAAAGCAGTTGTCTATCCACCTCATTGAATCTTTGGTAAGTACCGAACACTGCAGAGTCCTGTGTATGATAGTTTAGTTGTCACATCAGTGCAAGAACAATGACCCTGAGATTTGTAAGAAACTGAGAATATGGTAGCTATATCACTACAATACATACACGGGATTTGGTTTTTTTGGCCTGCTGATGTAACTGTGTATAATACTGCTGCTTGTGTACCAAGTGATTATGCAGACCAAAAAGAGATTTTAAATGAGATGCCAGCACTGTGTACCCCATGCACTCAAAGAATGAGTATAATTACATACATTGGTTTTGTGAAATAATTGATTATCCTGAAGCTCAGGTACATAGTAAGTAGGAACTGGGGGAAAAAAACAATAATGTTGGTAGATTGTATAGGAACTGTGAAGGCAAGAAGCGGATCTCTGTTGGGATCGGTGCTATTTGACCAGTTCATAACTGACCTGGAGTTAGAGATGAGCCATGAGGTGCATGGTGAGAGGAAGAGCAACTCACAAGGCACTCCAAAAGGATCTCTCCAAGCTGGTGCAAAGGGCATTAAAATGGAAAAGGAAAGGGATGTGGGTCTGAGCCAGCAGCAACTGACCAAGAAATGAACCTTGGAACTGTGCTGGATTACACCATGAATGTTTTGACCCACTGTGCATCCCTTTCCCTCTTTAAAGGCCAAATCCATGTTGGGCACAGTTAAAGAAGGAATGAAAATAAAACTGCCTGTTCATTTTGTCCAAATTAAAAAAAAATAAACCTCAAGAGTCCCATCAAAACCTTTCTTGGTTCCATTCTTTTGTTAATCATAATAACCTTTGAACTTCAGAGCTGGAAGGGAGCCTATGGATCACTGAGTCCAGCTTCTCTCAAGGAGACATGGTGGGAAATCGAGCTTCCAGGCTCTGGCTCCACAACCAGAGACCTAAGCCTCTGAGCTGTCCAGCAGTTACTGATAGGCTTTAAAGTTTTCCTGTGCAGTTGTGACTTGCATGCTCGAAATTTCTTGCTTGCAGTTGCTGTGATTAAAAGTTCTGCTCATCTTAAAAGCCCAAAGGTTTAGACTCCTACAAGGCTGTAAAGTTGCAATATCCAACATGAAAATATCCTCTCTTTGGTTGTGCCATTGCAGCTATGTAGAGGGTGACTTTTGTGCCCGCTGCATACAACCTTTAGTGTATTTTGTTTTTGGTTTTTTTTTTGCTTTGGTTGCTCTGCATTCAGGATGCCAAAGTAACTCTTACAGTCTTTGCAGGAAAAAAAAGCAACTAATACAGTGTTCTCTTTCCAGATGAAGTAGCTCGAAGACGCAAAGGTGCCCGGTCAGAAGCTTTTGGCATGCAGATGAGGCAACGAAAAGGGGCACTTTCTGTCAACTTCGTAAGTTTCCCTAGAGCATTTGAGCTTCTGTGATACTTTGCTGCTTCTGTAGGTTGTGAAAATGTATATGAAAGAAGTGAAACAACTACATTTTACTAAAATTCCTGGAAGGTAAGAATGCTAATTCATTACACCAATATTATGCTTAGGCTGAGAGCAGCTTTTAGTTCAGCCTAAAGGTGTCTAATCCTTATTCAGGCTAGCTCACAATATTTTGCAATGATCTGCCAAGAGTGAGCTACAAAATAACATGTATTGACATTGCAGAGCATTCTTTAGTTAATTAATCATGATTAAAGTTTTGGCTAGATGTTGCCGAATGAGGTGTTTGCTAGTTTTGCTAGTTTATTTTTTTGTAGTATAACTGAAGAATGTTCTTCAGGATATTCTTGGTTATATTTATGTTCAAGTAGTACTGTTTGAAGTTAACTCCACAGTGTCTTATGCTGAGCTAGCTGTAGAAAAGTGTTCTGGATTTTTGTTTGTTTGGAATTCCCCAGGCAGCACCTCCCAGAATTGGACTGTGACTCCTGGATTTTTCAAGAATTCCCCTGGTAGAATTCTGGGAGTTGTGGTTGGAAAATACAGACTTGCACATTTCTATCTTTAAGGAAGGTCTCAGAACATTGCCAGCAAGCAGCAATATACATTCTTTTTTCTGTTCTCCGTTTTCTGGATGAAGAATAAGAATAAATGGAGATGTGATTTGTTGTCACGCACAAAGCCTGCCAGTAGTGCAGTAGAGTGGATGCAAATGTCAGTGTCATTCCAGAATAACCCCTCCTCTTAGAGAAGAGCACGTTGACAAAAACAAGGAAAGGAGGGAGCAAAGTTGGGCAGGCATTGTGCTCAAAATGGCAATTGTTTCCACTATCCACATCCAGGAAACTAACCCTCCTGCCACCTCAGATGCCATTTGGGAGTTGTGGTTCAGTTCTTGGAGGTGCTGTTTAGAGTTAGGGTCAAGCAATAAAACAAAAGAGAACACCTCTAGTTATAGAGTTTTTAGATCGTCGTTACCATTGTCATGGAAAAACGTGTGGAATGACTCATCAAAACAAGCATCTTCTATATTTTGGTTGTAGAAATGTGGGGCAATTGATGAGTTTAAATCTGTGGCGTCACTAATATATGTGAGTTTTAATTACTTCTAAGGAGATTATGTTAGTGAATGCTATATAAAGTTATATACAACATTAAGTGAGTCTTGTATTCTAAGAGAGACTAAATAATTCAAAGCTTGTTAGTTGCAAATGACAGTTCCCTGAAGTTGAAAGTATGGGCTTATGTAATCAGCATTCATTGTATAAATCGGCATACTTAAAGCGAACAGAGAGTGACAAATAGCTTTAGAGGCATGAATTCCCTCCCCCTGCAAAGAATAGAAAGTCAATACATGTTGCCAGTCTTATACAGTACTATTATTGATTGATGTATGTAACTGTTCTTCTTAAAAATAAGCAGGCAATATAATCTTGAAATGAAATTAAAATCAAGCAAATCCAGAGCTTTTACTTGCTTAGATATAGGGAAGATGGCAACCAGAGATTTTCCAAGAGGTATTAAAAAGTAGTTCCCCAAAAAATCCCATTCAAGCTTGTTAAAAAAATAGTCCGTATTGAAATTACGATAGCCGGTGTGGTGTAGTGTATAGGGCAATGGACTAGTTCTCAGGTGGCCCGGGTTCAAATGTCCACACAGCCGTGGAAGATCATGAGGTGTGTGGAACTGGTAAAATTAATGTTTAAATCTCTCACCTTGAAAGCCTTGTTAGGTTGCTGTAAGTTGATTCTGACTTGATGACACATAATACTGTAACAATGAAACCACAGTCTACTTTGTCATCTGGGCTATCCACAGTCTTTGGCTGCTCTTGCAAGTCCAGGGAGCTGCATGTACTTTTTCTCACAGCCTCCAGCAGCTGAGCAGTGTTGAATTATACTGGTGTTCTAGTGGTTCTCTTTTTGTTGGGATAGTAACCTTTGTGGGAATTACTGGAATTGTGTAGGAGCCATTTATTTCCTTGCCCCTCTTCTGATATAGTATTGCTTGTCACTGATAATGGTGGAGAAATAATGGCCTCAATGAGGATCACTGGGTGGGGGGAAGAGTCTTTAATCTCTTCTAGCCCCAGAAAGTCATCTCAGCAGGAAGGAAGAGATACCTTAATCTTCTCTGTCCTTGCACTATGGGGAGAGATGGGGAGTTAGGTGTATTCATGTGTGCACAAATTACATGTCTGATATGCATGTGGTACCATGCGTGGCCCTTAGGACAGAAAGCTTGCCCACCTTGGCCTACATGAGTAACACTGGATACCTTTCCTTTTTCCATCTCTGAACTCAGTCATTGCTCTCCATGTCATGTGTTCTGCAGACATAGATGTGTGTTCCTACCTCTCTGGGAAGTACATTGAAGGCTTCTTCAGAATCTCCTTATAGAGGGTGACAGTGTACTGCTGCATTAGGTATAATAAAGCATTCTAAGTAGGTTTATCCAGCAACTGCTGGCTCACATTTAAATGTCATTGGAATACAATTTTTCTCTCTCCACAGGTTGATCTGTATGTCTGCTTGTTCTGTGGTCGTGGGAATAATGAAGACAAGTTGCTACTGTGTGATGGGTGTGATGACAGCTATCACACTTTCTGCTTAATACCTCCTTTGCCTGATGTGCCCAAAGGTGACTGGAGATGTCCCAAATGTGTTGCCGAGGTACAACATTTTTGCATATTTTTGAAGTGTTGTAGTGGGAAAGGATTAGAGGTTAAGATCTTCTGACTATTGTTTCCTTCTGGAAGTGCCCAGACAGCACACCACTGCACATAGCACGGTAAAAGAAAAAAACAGGCGGCTACCCCCAGCAAAATTTTATTTATTTATTTATTTATTTATTTATTTAATATCCTGCCTATCTGGTCAAGCGAGGACCACTCTAGGCGGCTAGGATGGACTTGTCTTTCAGTCCTTTGTACACACATCAGAGGAGCCGCAGCCAGTTATGGTGTACTGTGGCAAGTGTACTTATCACATGTAATTTACATGCTGCTGCTTATCAGGAAGAAATGTTCATGCCAAAATTTTATGATATTAGACGAAATGCTGATTCCAAGAGATAGCTGAAAAATGTCCTGTTAGACCACTTATCTGAACCTAACTTAGCAGCAGAGTTTACTGGGGAAGCAGTGGAACCTGTTCCCCTACTTCTAGAAATTTGACTTCAGTTCCAAGACATATACCTCAGCAGGTATAGATCCTCAATCCTTTGGAAAGCCAGTCCACCTGCCTACCATCACTGCTAAATTTGCTAGTTGGCTTGCATAATTTAACTTCATAGCTAGTTACTTCATTTGGAGGTAATGACAAAAGCTTAAACCTCTCTTACAGTTGATCAAGTGAAGCAGCATCACTTATATCAAGATGCTATATAGTAAAGGACTGAATTGCTCGCCTTCCTCCATTGTGATGAATTATAACTCTCTTTTTATCCTCCTAGGAATGCAATAAACCACGTGAAGCCTTTGGATTCGAACAAGCTGTTCGAGAATACACCCTCCAGAGTTTTGGTGAGATGGCAGATAATTTCAAGTCTGATTATTTCAACATGCCAGTCCATGTAAGTATGAAGCTACTACGGTTATTTTATTACTGAGAGAGAATGTGAGTGAGTGAATCTGCACACATACCTCTCCATACGCAGTGAACTTTTTGAGGTGATACGGGACTAATGCAGTCCATATGTTCTCACCAACCACAAATTCTGCAACCTGAACAGTTTGCACACATACTGTTTTAGATATTTCAGTGAAAAAAGTAGAATTGCATTCATTTTTAGAGAGACATAGAAAGAAGCACTGCACTTAGGAACCATAATAGGGGATTGGTCTTTAGAGGCCTGAGGTATATGCCGGAGAAGCTCATTGTTTTGCTTTATCCCTGTGAGAGAAACATTGTAGGCAGTGTTCTGCTGAGCAGAAAATCTCACCAACATAGTAACACAGAATCACACTGCTTGTGCAAATGTTGCTGATGACAAGAACTTGGCTGCTTTTTGTTTCTCATGGAGATTACCATTTGCATGTCAGTAATATTTCCATGAGTAGTATGACCTAGCATTACTGCTTTGGCTTGACTTTCCACTCTGGGGGAGTTCAACAGGATATTGGCCTGTATTTCAAAATGGAAAGAGGCACAGAAGCAGTCTTCTGTAAGACAGACTTATTATATACAGTGGTACCTCGATTTATGAACTTAATCCGTATTGGAATTAAGTTCGTATGTCGAAAAGTTTGTAAATTGAGGCAAAATTTTCCCTAGGAATGCATTGAAAACCATTTAATCCATACGTGCTGTTTTGTGTTCGTATGTCGAGCTGCTGTTCGTAGGTAGAGGCATCAGTTCCCTTAGGAACTAATGCAAAGCCGGTTAATCCATACTCTAGCACTAGGGGGTGAATTTTTTCTTCTTCTTCTGACCTAAGATGAACTTGGGCAAAAAAAATGGGCAGGAAAGGTTTTTTTTCTTTTTTCTTTTTGATTCGTAAGTCGGGCTCCATTTGCAAGTCGAAGCAACTTCTTTGTGAACAGAGCCGTTCGTAAATCAAATCGTTCACAAAAGTCGAGGCTCCATTTGCAAGTCGAAGCAATTTCTTTGTGAACGGAGCCGTTCGTAAATCAAATCGTTCACAAGTAGGGGCATTTGTAAGTTGAGGTTCCACTGTACGTGGTTCCATATATGCTATGCTCCAAGTTGGATGTTCAGTTGGATTATGTGAAACATGTGAAGGCACAATTTAGACATTACATAGCAAGGTTGCTGGTCCCATAGCATCAGCCAGAACTGCCTATTCTCACCTGATAGTGGTTCTTCCGTCCAGGCTTCAAGCAGAAGTCCTTCAGAGTCCTGTTACTCAAAATCAAGGGATGGAATTTGGGGCCTTCCATACCCAAAGCATCCTGTCATTGAATGGTATCCTGTCTGTTTTTTTCTGACGATGCCTGCTGAGGTGGTTAGAGAAATCATACTAAAGCAGTTTGGATTCACATTTGTGCGATATTCTTTGTGGAAGACAATTTTAAAAATATATATTTAGGTCTAGCCTTAATTTTAAAAATTACATTTTGCTACCTTTAAAAAGTTCAGGGGAGTGTTCCTCTTCCTAATTTCCTGTTGATTTTTTCATTACCCTACTGCTAATGTGTTTTCTGGACCTTGTAGCTGATACAAAAACAAGGGCAGTGGATGCCTGTTCTTCTCCTTACCACTGCAGCAGGAAGGCTAGTGTAGTGATGGGCTCTGTAATTAGGTAAGGTGGCAACATCTCTTCAGATGCCACTGCCATTTTGGACTTCTTACACACTTGCTTACACATAGAAAGCTAATATGTCAGAAAAGGGAACATTTAGAAGTCACAAACTGTGCTTTAAAATTATTTTATCTCATTAGGACCACTCAGTCTATTCCTAAAATTTCCTTTTATTACTTCTAAATTTCCTCCAAAATTACTGTATTCAAAAATGTGGTTTAAATGTGACTTGGGAGAAAGCACTTTTAACACCTGTGCAGGTATTATTTTTGTGTTCTTCCACATGTAGCTTACTTAAACTCTTTTCTCTCTGTTGTTTTTTTACTTCCAGATGGTTCCCACTGAGTTGGTGGAGAAGGAGTTCTGGCGGCTGGTGAGCAGCATTGAGGAGGATGTCATTGTGGAGTATGGAGCTGACATTTCCTCCAAGGACTTTGGAAGTGGATTTCCTGTAAAAGATGGCAGGCGAAAGCTAATGCCAGAAGAGGAGGTGTGGCTAAGATACTCAACCTGTGTTGATTTTGCAACCCCCAAAAGCAAGGAAACCCCCCCAAGACCCATCGGAAATGGGGGGAAAAATACCAAAAAACAAACCCCCCAAGACCCATCACAGCACAGAAATGTAACGCCCCAGCCCAAAACTACATTGCAAAACCACCCAGAACAGTTTTTAAAAAGCAGAAAGCAGCACTTTACCTTACCAGGCAGTCCGAAGCCTCCTCCAATCGCACTCACTCTAACCGTTGGGGTGAAAGAGCTGCAAAGAAGCAGCCTCTTCGCCTGCCAACGGTTAGCAACTTGAATTTCCCACCTTTCCCCCCTTCCTTTTCTGTTCGTAAATGGAAGCTCCGGCTGCAAGTCAAAGCAAAATTTTGCGGCCAGAGCTGGTCGTAACTTGAAATGGTCGTAAGTTGGGATGTTCATAAGTTGAGGCACCACTGTATGGACAGAACATAGAGACCTCTTTGGGGAAGTGAAGTTGAAAAAAATGAAAGGACAACGTTCTGGCACTCATGTAAAATTAATCTTCATTTTAATAAATAGAGCATTGTAATGGTAGCAAAATGAGTGGCTTGATAAGTGGGATCTGTGTGGGTGGATGAATTTTGCATTAAGACACATGTTTCTGTCTTGCAAGGGATTCTTGTCAGCAAAGGTCAGATTGTCAAGAGATGAAGAGCAGGTTGTGTCGTTAGTGCATTGTATCTCCTCCCCTTATCCCAGAGACTTGAACAGTGGATAAAACCCCTGAGAAAGTGAATTAGGTGCCTCATTGTGCTTCTGAAGCATTATGACCTAGCTGGAAGAAAAGTATAAAAATTTTTACTTGCCCAGTTTCAGCATGTACTGCTTGCATTTTGTCTGATTCCTTGACAGAGATTTTCTGTTCTCTCGACAGGAGTATGCCCTTTCTGGGTGGAATCTGAACAACATGCCGGTGCTGGAACAATCAGTTCTCGCTCACATCAATGCGGATATTTCTGGCATGAAGGTGCCCTGGCTTTATGTGGGGATGTGCTTCTCCTCTTTCTGCTGGCACATTGAAGATCACTGGAGTTATTCCATCAATTATCTTCATTGGTATGGATTCGTGATGCCTTGGGGATGTTTGTATGCATGCTCAGGATGATGGTAGTGCAATTTTCTGGTGGTGCAGAGGAGAGCACTGCTATATTGAGTTATTCCTGTCAAGGCCCAGATCAGAAGGCAGAAACGTGACCCAGAAAGAGTATTTGGTAGCCCCAGCTCTCTGAGCATTTTGTTTCATGCCTTCATCCCTCTCTTTCACCTTCCTCTTAGTCCACCTTATTGTTTACTTTCTCCCTGTTTCTTCTTTCATTTTGTGAAGGATTCCTAGGCTTTCTGCTCCTATTTTGGTTCACTTACTGAAACAAACAAAAAACACTGTTCTGTCTTTTGCCTTCATTTCCCCCCCTACAATGGTTCCCATTGACAAAGGGAAAAAGGATTTAAAGCGTACCAGGGCAATTGAAGACAAAGACCGTACAGCCACAATAATGACTGCTTTGGTGCCCCCTGCACAGTCTACCAAGGCCTTCACAGCATATCTTCATCACTCAGGCTGACTGTGCCTGCCTGCCTTGATTGCCACCACTGTTGTTTCTCCCTCATAGCAGGCATTTGGGCTCTCAGACCGACCGCAGCCAACATCTCAGCTGAGGCATTACAATCTGAGGGAAGTGAAGCAGCTCTTTGATGGCAAAATCTCTTCAGACAACTGCAAAAATAGCATCAGCAAGTTCCTGGCAGCTCCAGGCTTCATTACACCAGCAGAAGGAAGAGGGTTAACTTCAGAAGAAGGGAGAAAATAATTCTGGGGGAGTGGGAGATGTTGGCAACACTGATCTAGATTGCAGTCTAACTGCCAGCGGTGTCCTCAGAATGAGTCCTGAACCAACTATTCACCTGTCTTGCTTTGTCATTTCTATTTTAGAGCTTCAGCTGGGCAAAGGTCCTCCTGAAAGAGAGCTGTGGCCCTAACAGGAACTTTCTCAGGTCACTAATTCCTTGCCTTCTGATCTGGGTGGTAACAGAGATAATCTAGAATAGTGGACTCCTATGTATTTTTTTCAGAATAGACCCTCACAATTTAGTGCCCAGTGTAGTAGTCTTTTTTCAGTTATTTATGGGATTTCCCTCCCCCCTTAGGTTATAAGAAATCAAGTAACCTAATGTCTTGTAAAAAAGTCCTAAATATGAAAACTAGATAAATGTCAAGCTAGAAGACACTTCAAATATATGTATAAGGAGGGACAGCATAATGTCCATGGCTGTTGCACACTATTTTGAACAAACACTCTTATTCTTTTTGAGCTCTTGCATGGTGTTTGCATGTTTATATAATTTTGTTACTAGAGCACAATTAATACATGCAAACTATTTTAGTTCTCTAGTTTCAAAGGCCATGCTTGAAGCTTATGATGATCAAATTGTCCCCCTTTGATGTAAAGCAACTTTTCCCCCCAGTTCGGTCTGTTCTTGGGAAACTCCCAGTGTTGCTTATAGAAGAATATTTCTAAACTCTTAGATTAAGATTGTGCCTGAAGAATGTTTTATTCTGGAATTACACCTTGTTTAATGGATCCTCTGCTGTGCTAGGGGAGAGCCAAAGACGTGGTATGGAGTACCATCTCATGCTGCTGAACAGTTGGAGGAAGTGATGCGAGAACTTGCTCCTGAACTGTTTGAGACGCAGCCTGATCTTCTGCATCAGCTGGTCACCATCATGAATCCCAATGTGCTTATGGACCATGGTGTGCCTGTAAGTAGTTCAGAGTCTTTTATTTGCTCATAAGCATCTTGTTTTCACTATGCAGAACAACTCAAATTAGCATTTCTAGTATCAGAGATCCATTTCAGTTTCAATTTGAGAGCACTTACAAGATGTCTTAATGGACTTTGAGAACTGGAATATGGAATAGGATGGAGAATACATCATCCTTGGGTCTGCTGGATATATCACTGGCTTTCAGTATCATCCTGCCAACCTAGCAGTTCAAAAGCATGTAAAAATGCAAGTAGATAAATAGATACCAGCTTGGTGGGAAGATAACGGTATTCCGTGTCCAGTCCTGCTGGCCATGTGACCATGGAAACTGTCTACCGACAAACGCTGGCTCTGTGGCTTGGAAACGGGGATGCGCCCTGCGCCGTAGAGTCAGACACAACTGGACTAAATGTCAAGGGGAACCTTTACCTCAGTATCATTGCCTGAGTATCCTCTTGGCCTGCCTGGCTTGGGTGGGTCTTAGAAAAACTCTTGTGGTAGTTCCAATTTTTTTTTCTGGAAAGATAGTGGTACAGTACTTTATCTTTGTTTTAAAAAAAGTGAGCTAGCTCTGAATGCAGCAAGTAGAATTGGAACCAGAGCTGATTGAATGTCTTTGTTGTGACAACTTTGATGCGTTCCCTTCCCTCATCTCCCCAGCTGGATCCCCCCACTCCCCTCTTCCTTTCTGTTGTGACAACTTTGATGCGTTCCCTTCCTTCATCTCCCCAACTGGATCCCCCCACTTCCCTCCTCCTTTCGGCTGTTCAGCCAGTCCCCAGCTGGAGGGGACTGAACAGCCAAAGAGCAGAAGAGACTCTCACTCTGGCTGGTAAGTGGAGCATTGACCAGGGAGGTGGGGGGGGGGGAAGGGAACACGCAGCATGAACCTCCTAACTGAGGTTTGTGCCCATCTCTACTTTTATTCATATCTAGACCCAATTCAAAGTGTAATTATGTGTATTAAAACCCTAAAACAGTACAAGGATTATAAGTGCTTGTCTGCAGTATTCACCACTAGCTGTAGATTCTCAAACAAGCACAAACCTGTGTAACAGAATACATTTCAGTACTCCAGTCTTGAGTTTACTGGTGCATGGATCACTATGACTAGGCTAGGTAAAGGTGAAGTTTCCCCTTGACATTTAGTCCAGTCATGTCAGACTCTAAGGTGCGGTGCTCATCCCCGTCTCCAAGCCATAGAGCCAGCTTTTGTCCAAAGACAGTTTCCGTGATCATGTGGCCAGTGTGACTAGACACGGAACATCGTTACCTTCCCACTGAAGTGGTACCTATTTATCTATTCACATTTTTACATGCTTTCGAACGGTTAGGTTGGCAGGAGCTGGGAGAAGGAGCTCACTCCGTTGTGTGGATTCAATCTTACGACTGCTGGTCTTCTGACCTTGCAGCACAGAGGCTCCTGCGGTTTAACCCACAGCAGCACCACATCCCTGGATGACTAATATCACGGATGACTAGGCTATCCAGGCCCAAAAATAGTCCTACCTCCTGTACAACCAAAACTAATATTAGCTGCTCTTTGATAGAGAGGCTGCTTGAGCCATCAATGACAGAGACAAATCCAAGGGCATTCTTAGATTACATGCCTGTTCCTTTAGGGAGAGTATAAACCACATCTGGACTTGACCTTCACCAAAAGTCTGAGAAGTGATGACTTAGACCCAGGACCCTCTTCCCCATGGGTCTTTGGTTTTCCAGGATTCATCGTTAGTTGGTTATCAGCCATCTAGCCCAACAATGCATTGAGGCTCTGGTTCAGGTTGTGCATGGCAACACCGACTCTGAAGTAAGAGAGAAATAGGAGTACCCTTTTTCCCCCTTTGGCCAGTGTTTTGTTTTGTTTTTGTGACCCGTGTAGTTCATGAAAGTACTAACTAGCTCCCCAGATTGTGAGTTTAATTACTTTTATGCGCTGTCAAAGTCTTTCTTTAATGTTTTATTGTGTCAAAACTGTTAGCTGCTTAGACATTTTTTAATCTGGATGATGGGCTAGCAATTCTGTAATTAAATATTTTTATGGTTTCATCCTTTCAGCTGTGTGACTTTATCTTGACAGCTCTAACATCAGCAAAGAACTGGAATGCCCTTTGTATTAACCTTCGCCAGCTTTAGTTATTATTTTGTTTCATTGAAACACCATTTAAGTTATCAGAAGAATTGTTACCAGCAAATACTTGGTTACCTGTCACTTGGATTTTTATATTTAGTCAGATTTCATTGCTGATCAACTCATTCTGTTTTCTCTCCTATCAATATATTATCTGGGTTTTTTTTTCCTGACAAAACAGGGTACACTATTCCAGAAGCTTTTAATTTGTATATAGGCAATAAGTGATTTCACTTCCAGTTATTGGCACTATATTCCTCTGAGGATTTGTAACATACAAACTCAGAATACTTTTTGTAAATTTACTTTTGAAAACGAAAGAAGAGAATGGGATAAATCCTGTACAGCAGATAATTAGTAATTAGAAATGTGAGGAAAGGATACAGGGTTCAGGTATTAATTAGCAATTATAAACAATTATTTTAATGAGTCTGAAAGATCCAGTGTTGTGTAACAATGAGATTTCCTTCTCTGACTCTTCTCTTTGGTTTGTTTTCTAGGTGTATCGGACGAATCAGTGTGCTGGCGAGTTTGTTGTGACTTTCCCACGTGCCTATCACTCTGGATTTAATCAAGGCTACAACTTTGCTGAAGCTGTGAATTTCTGCACTGCTGACTGGGTCTGTACACACTAGCATAAACTAACATAATGCTAAGAATGTACCATCAGACTATTCATGTAAAGGCCAAAGAGGTGGCATCCATCTGAGATGCATTGTCTTTGTTCAGCTCAAGGATCAGTTTAAGACCTCTTGTCTTACTAGGGATCCTGGCATTTTAGGTATTTGCTGAAGGATTTATCACATTCTTGTGTATCTTGTTTGCAGAAAGCATGTTTTGCTGCTTGCCAGTGGTATGGTGACAGGCTCTGAAATAATCTGTTTGAATTCCATGTGCAAAAGTTTTATATTGCTCTGTTCAGTCTTTCCACTTCCTTCGTGTTTACCCACATCAAGCTGCTGGTATAGTTTGCACTTATCAAACTGTACCATATGCATTACTGTTTTACATTACAGAAGATAGAATGGTCAAAATGCTTATTATTGAGTTACTGTTAAACACACTATGGCCAAAATTCTCTTACAGTATATAGTTACATTGATGTAGTACAAACTATAAAATTTAGAGGCAATTTGCCGTTACTGTTTTACATTACAGAAGATAGAATGATCAAAAATGCTTATTGTTGAGCTACTGTTAAACACACTATGGCCAAAATTCAGTTACACTGATGTAGTACAAGCTATAAAATTTAGAGGCAATTTGCCGCAAGTTAAGAAATCACTGTAGACATTATCAGTTGCATACCGAATTGCTTGATTTGGCATGCAGCTGTTAATTTCTATGACGATTCTTGTAACTTGAAATCATTTGCCCCCAAAAGCTACACCATTTGCATAGCTTCACTAGAGGATTTTGACCTATCTGTAATCTCAAACCAAGCATTAGATGTCTCCTATAGCAGTGGTTCCCAACCTTGACTCCCCACATGTTCTTGGACTAAAATTCCCAGAAGCCTTCACCACTAGCTGTGCTGGCCAGGATTTCTGGGAGTTGTAGGCGACCCAAGGTTGGGAACCACTGCCCTATAGCTGTGGTTTGAAACTTTAAAAAATTTCCAGAAGTTGTGAGGTGCTTCTTGTGGGTTTGGGACAGCAGGGGCTATTCTTCAAAGCTATACTTCATACGTTGGCTTGGGAATGGAACTGAAGCACACTTAGTTCTGATGTGTCAAATTTGAATTTTACTTCCTAGGAAATGAACGTTGAATATGATCTAGTAGAAATAGTAGAAATAATATTTTTTGTGCTGTGAAGTGAACTATCAAGTCCACAGTAATTAAAACTGTACACAAACAAAAAGATGGAACACAAGCAACTGCAGCCAAAATGCATAAAATCTGTTCGCTATTGGCAATGGAAAAGAAATAGGAACTAAAAGTAGAAGGCATTAATATTGTAAACAAACCAAAGTTACATTGGCAATGGAAAAGAAATAGGAACTAAAAGAAGGCATTAATATTGTGAACAAGTTACATTATTCTTAACTGTTAGAGCAGTATGACAATGGAACCAGTTACCTCAGGAGGTGGTGAGTGCTCCAACACTGGGGGGATTCAGGAGAAAATTAGACACTATCTGTCAGATATACCTGATTTGGTTTCCTGCATTCATCAGGGGGTTGGATTAAGTTGCCTGTATTCTATGATTCTATACGTCAATAGACTTAGAAATAGTGTGAAACGTAACTTGAGGTCTATTTGTAGTCTATTCCTCACAAGAGTTCAGGTTGCTACTATATCTGAAAACACACCCTAAAATAACATTACAAATAATAAATTACTCAAATGATATAAATAATAAAAATGCAAAAAATACAAAACAGTTGAAACACTGAGGTAACTGGTTCTTCTACTCCAGGACCGCATACAAATAAATATTTTAAACTGGCTTCTGTATTGTAATGTGTAACACAAGTCTGAACATTGTTAATGCAACTAACACACTTAATATGTTATTAAGCGTTCTGAAATAATATTATGATATCCCATTTGTCTCCTGAGGAAAAAAAAATTCTCTCCAAACTATCTAATATCAAAAATCTTTTCATCTATTTTCATTATTCTGTTGTTTGGCAGTATATTGGGTGGCAGTATGTTAGGTGATATGCATTGTTTGCTTTGCAAAGTGTGCTGTGTAATTTTTAAAGTTAACTTACATAATGTAGTATTGTGACAACTCCATTAAAAAGCAACAATATTTCTTACAAGCAAGGCGGCAACTTAAGCTGTTTGCCCTTTGTTTAGAAAGATTTTGGCCTGAGCTTCTCAGATGCAATAAGGAGATGACATCTCTGTGGAGGTGTATCTTCCTTCCCTCACGTCCTTCCTTCCCCCATCTGTTTTATTTATTTCTATGCATACATATGTACACACATGTGCATACACAACTAATGTTTTAATTGGCTCAGTGTTTCTCCAGGAGAGGCTGGATTATCAGTCAGGCTGTTTGAAATTCCTTGGGCTCAATGTCAAATGAAGCCTTTTGGGATCCAGAACTTGCACAGTCAATACCCTCATCTCTTACCTCCTCTCAAATAGCCTCCAAAGAGGTTGAATTACAGTGATCTCTAGAGATCCGTTGTGGGGTATTGTGACACACGTAATGCCTGCAGTAGTTGCCTGCATTCTTTAATGAGATGATTTCACTTGTTTTTCTCACTTTCTGACTTCCACTGTAAACACGTGAGAGGAAAGACTAGTTCATCAGCCTCCCATGATGCAGCTAAGCAAAAGTCTGGGTTTTCTTCTGTTTCTAGCTTCCCATAGGAAGGCAGTGTGTCAGTCATTACCGGCGACTGAGGCGTCACTGTGTGTTCTCTCATGAGGAGCTAATCTTCAAGATGGCGGCCGACCCCGAGTGCTTGGACGTTGGCCTGGCAGCCATGGTCTGCAAGGAAATGACATTAATGACAGAGGAAGAGGCACGCTTGCGGAAAGCTGTTGTGCAGATGGTGAGTTTAGGAAGACTGGATCTTATTTGTGCTGTTTGGGCTAAGCAAAAAAAGTGAGGTTTGGAAGTGAAAGGTTTTATTAACAATGTATTCATCAGGTATTGCCATTATTATTTTTACTTCAGGGGGTGCTGATGTCAGAAGAGGAAGTATTTGAGTTGGTTCCAGATGATGAACGTCAGTGCGCAGCCTGTAGGACCACGTGTTTTTTGTCAGCTCTTACTTGTTCCTGTAACCCTGAGCGCCTTGTATGCTTATATCATCCAAATGATTTATGTTCATGCTCTATGCAGAAGAAGTGTTTGAGGTATGATCTCCCAAGTGGCCCCTACTTATTCATTTTTCCTCAGTTAGACTCTTAATATTTTGTCTTTAAACTTGATGCACTTGTTTGTAAAGGGTCCTGGCATATTTTGACAGAGCAAAAGATGTTAACATCCCTCCAGCTGTATTCTCAGTACTGCAGAGTTGTGGTATGTTTATGTGTGTTTCAAAAGTTTTTGTTTCTCTACAGATATCGCTATCCATTAGAGGATTTCCCGTCCTTGCTGTATGGAGTGAAAGTCAGAGCGCAGTCCTATGATACTTGGGTCAACCGGGTCACAGAGGCACTCTCTGCCAACCTCAACCTCAAGAAAGGTTAGAGTCCTGTAGCAGTCTGTATGGGAAAATCTGGGTAGCAGGTGGTTGAAGATTCTGGAGATTGATTTGAGCAGAATCAAACCCTGAATCAAGGAGAAACCTGTATAAAAAGTAATGTGAACAACCAAGTCTTTGTTGAACACCAGCTATGTTATAGTATTTGATATAGAAATAAATGAAGTTGACAAACTATTTCACACAATGATCTTCATGAATTTGCTGTGCAAGAGACCAATACCTCTTCCAGCCTTGCAGGCCACAGGATGACCTTGGACGTGTCACCTTCTCACAGCACAGCCTCCTACACATGGTTGTTACACTTTTCATGAGGCATGAGGATATCATAGAAAGGGGTTGGAGGGCAGATCAATGTTAGAACAGAGCAGTTGTCTAAAGATGTTGTTGAGAAGACAGTGGGCTGTTCAGGTGTTACATTTTAACCTGGGTGGCCCCTGTTTTTGCTTAGAACAATATTCTGCACTTTTAAAATACAAGAACCTCTTGGGTTCAGGGCAGCACCGGAACAGCGTTCTATTTTCAGCTTCTTCCCAGTAACATTTTCAGAAAGTGTGCAGACTACTTTGCTCCAATTTTGAGTTCTACCCCTTACTTTTTGTGTATGACAATGTTTTTCAGTTTTTAACTCAAAAGTGGAACAGGGAATCTTGTGTCTTTTTGATTGACCTAATAAGACATTACTGTATGGTGGATTTGAAATTTAGTAGGTTACAATATTGGCATAAAATAGGGCACCCTTGACTGGAGTGACTTTGGAGAGAATGGTTTGGAATGAAGTGATGACTTTCATAAAAACTTGGCTTACCATCCTTGGAGAAAAACAGTTCAGCGTACTCATGCATTTGTGCAGATAGTAACTTAGCCAATTTATTGCAGATGTCATTGAGCTGAGAGTGATGTTAGAAGATGCTGAAGACAGGAAGTATCCAGAGAATGATCTGTTTCGCAAACTAAAAGATGCTGTGAAAGAAGCAGAGACTTGTGCTTCAGTGGCCCAACTGCTCCTGAGTAAAAAACAAAAACATAGGTATGTCCAAGAAGTTTTCATAAAAGTTATTTTCAAAGTCAGCAATTCAATAAAATACTTCGTCATCTTGTGATAATAAATTTGTGCATTCCAAAGCTGACTCGCTACAACTGAAATATATTGATTTATGTGTGGCATTAGGTTTTGCAAGCAGTTTCTAAACTGGGGCTGTGATAGTGGGGAAAATGAATGGAAAGGCTATTTAGAGAATTTAGACCTCAGGAAGCTAGACCCCTCTGTCTAGTGCCCAGAGAAGATTTGCACTGTAATGTAAAACAAGATAAAAGTTTTAAAAGTAGCCTATGAAAAAGTCCTTGGAAACTGTTGCATATTCCAGTCATAGCCAGAGGATTTTTAGTTATTGATTGTATTTTGCTTGTATAGAAAGAACCTCGCTGGTTTGCCTTTTCTGGGTGCAGCCAGAGAACAGCCCTAGTAGGCACGGAACAAACCTGGCCATTTATTAGAATCAGAGGCTGTTCTCTGGCTATCCTACTTTCAAAACTTAGGCTGAAGGTAATCAGGTATAGCATTCTCTTCTGTGCTATCTTGACTGTAGAATGTTTTTTGTCAAACCTATACTCTTGTTCCTGACTTAGGTTTGTTTCAGTAAGTTAAAACAAAGTGAAGGCTTGTCTCTGTTTTTCTTTTACATACTTTTTTGTTTGCTTTAACTACTGGTTTAATTGTGTTTGTAACTGTGTTAGTAAGTCAGGTATTATTAAGTCTTCTTTTCCATGAGTTTTTATGGAAGGGAGGGAATACATTTTAATAAATATGTATGTTGTATTTCACACAATTTTCATAATGAACTACCTTTTCCAGTATATATGCTAAAGTCTCAAGTCTTCTTATGGCTTCTTTTATCAAATTGAGGCGTTATCTTATTCTGGAAGAATTTATTAAGGATTTTTCGCTGAGTGCAGCTCTCTAAAAATAGATTATGTGATTTATGAAATTCTCTTCTTTTCGTATAGTAGACTGAGCCCAGAAAGTGGAAGGACACGGACTAAACTAACTGTGGAAGAATTAAAAGCTTTTGTTCAACAGCTGTTTAGCCTTCCCTGTGTCATAACTCAGGCCCGGCAAGTAAAGGTGGGTATCTGAAGAAAACTTAATTTGAATTGAATTGAGTCTTTTTTAAAATAAATTTTCTGTCGAAAAATAATGTTCTTTAAGTTGATTAGCAAATAGGTTTGAGACTTTCAGTAGTTATTTCAACACCATCTTATAAATATCGAACATTGTGGTTTAATAGTAACGAATTTAGTCCGGAATGATGATGGACTCCCCAGTGTTTTCTTTTTCTAAGAAAACCACCCAAATTATAGCTAAAAGCTACTTGCTTTTGACCTTGTGCTTTTTTGTCTGCTATTAGATCCTTCATTAGAATTAAACAGCTCATGACTAGATGTGGGAGCTTTGTATTCGTTTCCTGGTAGAGACAAATACAAAGCTCACCAGCACAGGTGTCCCAGCGGGCCTGTCTTCCCGCCTCCTTGCTGGAGGGGTTGGCTGCATGGAGGTACAAAGCCCACCAGCACAGGTGTCCCAGCAGGTCTTCCCACCTCCTTGCTGGAGGGGTTGGCTGCAGGGAGGTAGGGCAGTGCCAGCGGGACTATATCTGTGATTGGTCCGATGTTGCCACCACTGGGTGTCCACACGGCGAGGAGCCCAGTGAGTGGACCAAGCTGGTTCTGGGGGGTGGGGAAGAACCGCCAGGACACCTGTGCCGGTGGGGCTTCGCATTCATTTCCCCCAAGAGATGAATATGAAGTCCCCATGTCTATTTGCTTGATACCAGATAGAATTTCATATTACCTCAGTAGTGTGGAATGTTCATTTCATCTTAAGCAGATCTTGCCAAGCAGAATTTCTTTTATGTTAATGGCCGCTACTGTTTTTGTGCTGAATGACTGTCTTTTGATAAACCTTTTAGAATCTGCTGGATGATGTTGAGGAATTTCATGAACGTGCTCAGGAGGCCATGATGGATGAAGTCCCAGACTCAGCTAAGCTGCAGATGTTGATAGATATGGGCACTGGTCTCTACGTGGAACTCCCTGAGCTGCCTCGGCTAAAACAAGAGCTGCAGCAGGCACGTTGGCTGGATGAAGTGCGAGCAACTCTTTCAGATCCACAGAGAGTTACTTTGGATGTGATGAAAAAGCTGATTGACTCGGGAGTGGGGCTGGCACCACACCATGCTGTGGAGAAGGCCATGGCTGAGCTGCAGGAGTTGCTTACTGTTTCTGAGAGATGGGAGGAGAAAGCCAAAGTCTGTCTCCAGGCAAGGCAAGTATTACTGCGAGTGGCTTTTCATGGGTGATTGCAGGAAATTTTGGTAGTTAAAGACTCTTAACTCCCCCCCCCCGGTAGCCCCCATGGTTTCCTGACAGTGAAAGGGATTACTTGGAACCTATAGGAGCCACAGAGCACTGTGGAATTCACAGCAGCAGAATTCCAGACAGCATTTACTCTTGGAACTAGACTTTGGAGGCCTGGTTGAATCCAATTGCATGACCTTATGCAGATCACTCCTAGACTGTCTTGCAGGGTAGCTGTGAAGATTAAATGGCCACTTTAAGGAGTGGGTTAAAAGTGCTGCGAATACGAGCGCTGTCATGGCAGAAGCATTGTTTTTGTTGACGTGATGCCTAAATGTTACAGTCTAGGTGTAACTGTAGTTTTTTATGAGAATGACCAGCAAGGAAGAACATATACCAACAAAGCTGTTCTCTTTTCATCTACATACAGGCCTCGACAAAGCATAGCTGCTCTGGAAAGTATTGTCAATGAAGCAAAAAATATCCCCGCTTACTTGCCTAACGTTCTGGCTTTGAGAGAAGCCCTACAGCGAGCCCGAGACTGGACAGCTAAAGTGGAGGCCATTCAGGTATAATAACTGTATCAGCAGCTGTATCTTGGCTACTTTCAAGCAGGCTTTTCCTTGCCTTGAAAAAGTATTTGTAGAATCAGAGAACTGAATGGTTACTGTCCCATTTGCTTTTATGTCCTTTCTAATCAGTCCTGGAGTGGCCTGCAGTATCTCTTCTTGCTAGCTGTATAATACAACTATTTATATTCTTCCTTCTCGTTTCAATAAATTTGCTCAATAAAGCAAACCATAGAAGAACAGAACAAGAAAACTGCAGAAGAAAGAATAAGATGGTAGAGTACAAAGATGTACCTGTAGACTTTCTTCATTTGTAGAAAAATTCTCAGAATGAGGATTTTTTTAAAAGCTGTAATAAAGTGATAGCCTTCAATTCTCGGAACTAACTTTAGCTTTGGGGTGGAAATTCAATGCTGGTGATAATTGCTGAGTTTGAACATCTTCTATAATGAAGCCCTCTGCCTAATGACAAGGTATGCTTAGTAGTGCAAGCTCTGTTCTGCTCGTCTTCTACCTCCTTTGTCTCTCAGTTGTTTGGTTGCAGCTGAGCAAAAGTTTAAAAGATAGTTTTATTTTTGAAATATATTTAGAAATATATCTTTTTCTATTTTTGTTTCTGCTTCTGCGCACACCCATATAATCTTGTTTGTTCCCTGCCAAGAGGAGGTCTTGAAACCTACCTTGTATTTGCAACTGGGAACTCTGAATTGTTTGATTTAATATTTTTTTCCAGATGTACAGGAGACCACTTGATTTACAATGGCACATTTTATGACTCTCTGCTTTTACAACCATTCCAATATTAGCTAATGTTCCAGATCCAAAACTCACTTTTATGACTACAGTGACTGATGTTGTACACCTGTGTAGTTTACATCATTAAGTCTGGTATCAGGAAAATTGAAGTGTGGGGGAGAGGTGAATAGAGAACAGATGTTGCAGCACCCAGCAAGCATACAAGAGAAAGGAGTTGAGGTACCAGCAAGGAGAGGGGAGATGTAAGAATGAAGTAAAAAGATGAGAAGCTTGGAGGGTGGCATTCATTAAACAAACACAAGAGAGGGAAAGTGTGAAGAAGCAACAATGCATTTGTAATGCATGAAAATTCTCCAGGAAACAGACAGATATTTTAACATTCAACCTAATAGGAAAGTATAGTTCCAGCTTACAATGATTCATTTCATTTTCTGTCCATGAAATTATTTCATATGGTCCTTGTTATTATTTGCTGAGCCGGTAGACACTGCTGAGGATCATCTGCTCCTACTCAAGTCCATCTGCACAGTGATGTCATTAGAGACGGTTCTTCATGTGATATTACCTTCTGAGGTTTCTGCATTTGTGGCTGTTTCCCATTGGGATGTTGTACCCAGGAATGCTTGCCAGATTCCTTCCATGGGAAGAAACCATAGCTTAACGGTTGCTTTGTCCCATGTTCGATACCTGCCCTGGCTGTTTGAAAGGATAACAGAGCAATTGAGGGGAAACATCTCTGGTTTGAGGATGGTTGGTACTACAGATTCCTTCCATGGGAAGAAACCATAGCATAACGGTTGCTTTGTATCTAAGAAAGTCCCATGTTCGATACCTGGCCTGGCTGTTTGAAAGGATAACAGAGCAGTTGATGGGAAACATCTCTGGTTTGAGGATGGTTAGTACTAAAGTAGAGATGGGGACGAATATAAAAACGGATTTTTTTTTTATGAATATAGCCGATTAGTTTAATATTCGTTGATCCGGGGATGAATATAAAAACGGATTGTTTTTTTTAAATGAATATAACCGATTAGTTTAATATTCGTTGATCCATATTCATTAAATGTTAAGTCCCGATGAACACAGCTTAACGAATATTTTCCCATTTTATTCGTCCTTCGTAATTAAAAAAAAAATTCTGCCTACTGGCTGCTGATCAGCTCATCGGCGGGCTGATAGGCAACCACCCACCCCCAGAGCAACCCACTCCCACAGTCTACACCCACCCCCTTCCTCTCCCTACCTTAGCCCCCCACCACCACAGCTGACACTCCCTTACCATAATTGTCGCTACTGCTACCAAGGTCTCCATCAGACCTCTGCAGCCACAGCATGTAAAAAGGAAAACTGGATGCCCTTTGCAAAGATGGCGGCTGCCACTTCATTTAGGGTAGGACAGTGGCAGCAGGGAGGCAGTGGCATGGCAGCTGCGGCTTCATTTAGGGTAGGACAGTGGCAGCGGGGAGGCAGTGGCAGTGTGTGTGTGTGTGTTTAAATAACCCCCACGAATTGACGAATAACTTCATTCATTGCTCCATGGGGGCAACTTTGTGCTTCGTGAGTCGTCAGCTTTTTGACGACTCACGAAGCGGGACGACTCACCAAAATGGTGAGTCGTCCCCATCCCTATACCGAAGTAATGATATGCTTGGAATAGTAATATGATCTAGTGTCCAAAATACATTGTGTATTTAGGAAAATGACAGTGGAAAGGTGTCCGTGGCCCTGCTTGGATTCCTGGTTGTCTAATAAGTCACTTCACTGGTATGCAGCTAGGAATCCAAATTGGGGTTTCTCAATTGACTGCAAGTTGCCATTGTATGTTGCCCCATTTCCTTTCCAGTGATATTAACTACACAACAGAATTTTGGCTAGTATGGAGAAGTTTCTATTTTCACAGGTCTGTTTAAACCTTGGTTAAATTGCTTTTATTCTTCTATGTTCTTCTATAATTCTGTTATCTTGCTGTTGAATCAATAGTTTTGTGATTTTATTCCATTTATTAATCTTATTATGTTAATTGTTCTAGCAATAATAATAAAAAGAATACATATTTTTAAATATATTAAGGCAATAGTTGAAATACATCTTTAGACTTCTTTGACTTTCATTTTAAGAAATAAAAGTGGGATGTATGTCTAATAAATTGTGATAGGTCTAGTTTGCTGTGGTTGGTGATGAGAATCTACAACTGAGACTGTTCTTGATGTCCTTTCCCTAGAATGGAAGCAATTACGCATATCTAGAGCAACTAGAAAATCTGTCTGCAAAAGGCCGCCTAATACCAGTACGCCTTGATGCGCTGCCACAAGTTGACTCCCAAGTAGCTGCAGCCCGTGCATGGCGGGAGCGCACAGGCAGAACATTCCTTAAAAAGAACTCAAGCTACACACTCTTACAGGTTAGTTACAGACAGTCCCCTACCAGGTTTCAAGAAGCATTACTTCTTGAAAGTCAGGGGTCCCCAACCTTTTTGACCTTGCGCACAGGCAGAACATTCCTTAAAAAGAACTCAAGCTACACACTCTTACAGGTTAGTTACAGACAGTCCCCTAGCAGGATTCAAGAAGCATTACTTCTTGAAAGTCAGGGGTCCCCAACCTTTTTGACCTTGTGAACCGGCTGGGGACGGCAGGGGCACCCCCTGCGCTCATGCGCATGGACGAACAAGAGTGTGCATGCATGCACAAACAAGCGCAAACATATGCAAATGGCAGTGTGGTGGTCTGTCTTTGTGGCCTGGTCCAGCTCACGCCACGGACTGGCACTGGGCCATGGACTGGGTGTTGGGGACCTCAGCTCTAAGTCATTAAAGAGTGGTTGAGGCCATTAATTCATGTATGCTAGGGATTGGTGTAGTCATATGTTTCTCAATGTTTTAATGTTTCCCTATTGAAAAGGGTGTTTAATCATTCCACCTACAAAGGATATGCCCACTGTACTTAAACGAGAACAGTTAGTCCCTCCCCTCTCCATTATCTCTTTTTCCAGATGGGAAACACTTAGTTTGCAGAGGAGATGTTCCTGCTCATGTGTAGGCTCTACACATGAAGTTCTTGCTTGCATGTAGACTCTGTATGTCAGCAAGAACTTTTCCTTGAAAGGTTTCTTGCTTTACACAGGTAGAAAATGACAGCAGATAGAGAAGAGCTGGCTGCTGTTCTCTGAGCATGATCAGGGGAACAACTGAACATTCTTGTGTTTATAGAGTTTGAGAAGTGTTAAACCTCCAGAAACATATGGAGAAAATATAAGCAGTAGTATGGTGAAAAATGACTTTACAAAGCCTGACAGCTTTTGTTGAAACCGAAGCATGTTCACAATTTCAGTTTTTCACAATCACATGTTATTGATTTTCACACAGAAAAATAATTTGTAAGAGGCAAACTATGTTCATGCCCACATAATGTAAAGTTAGGCTCGCATAATTATGCTGGGTATTACACCCAGTCACAAGGAATTGTACAATAATTAGACAATCAGTTGCACATCCCTTCACAACTGATTGTGCAACATGCTAGTGGAAGTGTTTCAGTGATCACACTTTCACCTGCATGCTAGTGTAGCTACCACAGCTACCATGAGCATAACCTCAAGATGCATGTGCCTAGTAGCACAACTGAATTTTGGCCAGTGGTAACCAAAGTGGTAAACCTTCATTGCAAATCTTGCCCGAGTATGCTCACCAATGAAATGTTGTATTTCCTTATATTGAGGCTTTGCAGAGTTGTTCACAGGTCTGATTGTTCTGATATGGTTGCAGGTTCTGAGCCCTCGAACTGATATTGGTGTTTATGGGAGCAGCAAGAATAGGCGGAAAAGAGTCAAGATGCTGATAGAGAAGGAGAAAGAAAAGGATCTTGACATGGAGTCCTTGAGTGAGCTCGAAGATGGACTGGAAGAGACCAGGGACACTGCAGCTGTGGTAAGGAACTATAACGGCATAGGTTGTTTGGGTTTGGCCTGAAGAACCATCTTTTACATTGTTATCCATTCATTTATATCTCCCCTGTAGTTTATTCACATTCAATATTCACACTTAACATGCTTTGATCATTAGCTTCTTGTGACTGATACATCATTGAGAGTGAAGATGCATGTCAACTTGGACAGTGATCATGCAGCATAGCACTCTGATTCTGAATTACACAGGGAAAGTATTGTAATGGTACCATTGCAATATATACTTGAAAACTCAACTTTACCAAGGAGTCTCAAGGAGTATTCAAATCTTTGTTTTCAGTCTTAGAACAGGAAATGTTCTGTTTCTTTAGAAGTTATCCTTTGTGGGGCAGAATGTCTGAAAAAACTGCTTCCGTTGTTGCCTGTAATCTGGAGTTGTCATCAGAGACTCTGCCCCAGCTCCTAGAAAAGCACCATTTTTGTATCAACACTTTGGTTGATTATTCCACTGAACTTTTCAGTCATCAGAGACTCTGCCCCAGCTCCTAGAGAACCACTATTTTTGTATCAACACTTTGGTTTTGCAATTACTTCCCTGTGAGGAATTGATTAGCCCCTTCTGTATAATGTGTCAGATAGGAAATGAAGGCAGTACTATATTATTCCACTGAACTTTTTGTTAACTCTTAATGTATTCCTCTGACTTTATTGCAAAAAAGATTTCTGCTCCTATTTTAATTTATTTATTTTGCCGCTTTAATACAAATAGTTTATAACAACATGATACAAATGATTGTTCATCACATTGAGGACCTAGGGTGTGTGAGGGAGAATCTTTTTGCCAAGGAAATATGGACACTGTTTCTCAGCTTAAAAGAAGTGGAGGTGTGAGGTGAGGAAGTAAAGATAGTGAATTATTTTTAGCAATTTGCTCTGTTCAATAGGTGGCTCTCTTCAAGGATCGTGAACAGAAGGAGGTTGAAGCTATGCACGCCCTCAGGGATGCCAACTTGGCCAAGATGACCATGGTGGACCGTATTGAGGAAATCAAGTTCTGCATCTGTCGCAAAACTGCCAGTGGGTTCATGCTGCAATGTGAACTCTGCAAAGACTGGTTTCACAGCACCTGTGTGCCCCTCCCCAAAACCAGCTCCCAAAAGAAGGGCTCCAGCTGGCCTGCCAAAGAAGTCAAGTTCTTGTGCCCACTTTGCATGCGTTCTCGAAGGCCCCGCCTTGAGACCATCTTATCTCTCCTAGTTTCCCTCCAAAAGCTGCCAGTGCGGCTGCCAGAAGGAGAGGCCTTGCAGTGCTTGACTGAGCGAGCCATGAGTTGGCAGGATCGAGCACGGCAAGCTCTAGCTACCGACGAACTGTCCTCTGCGTTGGCCAAGCTTTCTGTGTTGAGTCAACGTATGGTCGAACAGGCTGCGCGGGAGAAGACAGAGAAAATAATCAGTGCAGAGCTCCAGAAGGCAGCAGCCAATCCTGATCTACAGGTAGGAATGCCATTTATGCTAGCTTACTTTGTTTCTCTGGTTCTGCATAAGACTTAGGCAAATAACTTACTCCTTGTTCACATAGATACTGACAACCTTCACTTCATTTGCAGTCCTCATTCTGTAACCAAAAGTTGTTGGGAAAATTTTCCCCGCCTCGGGCTGTCTAACAGATAAGGTGGCTGTCCCGCTGGGGTCGATTTCATTGGAATAGGAGTAGGTTTGTTGAGCTGAATAATTGCAGATTTGTTACAAGTGCAAGTGAGCATACAATCAGTCTTCCCTTCAAAATCACAGAATACATATTGACCAGCAGGGGGTTTACTGACAAGTAAAAACCGAAGAGCAAAAGCATTCACAATTCATTCTCAGAAACTCTTGGAACTTACAGATAGGACTGTGATGAAAAAACATGAATGTGAAGAGAATGCTGGCTGATGGTCACGCTGTGTTACTTGTGGAATTATAACCATGCAATTCAAAGTTCGCAATGAAATTATCTTTTCTTTTTTTCAAGTTTGCTTTTTCCCTTTTTCTTTTCTGATAAGTTTTCCAACCCTTTCCCCTCTTTTTGCATTAGTGGTGCCCCGCATAGCAAGGTTAATCCGTTCCGGATTAACCCTCACTATGTGAAATCGTCGCTAAACGGAACGCAAAAGCCCATTGGGCCCTAAACTTAGCGTTCAGCGAAGTTTCCTCCATAGCGGCAGCCATTTTCGCGCCCTAGGTAAGCGAGGGGAGGGCCCGAAAACGCTGCGTGCGGCCATTTCGGACGTCAGGCGGCCATTTTAGAACTGCCGAACAGGTGCTGTTCAGTATCGTATGGGAACAGCAGAGTTGCAATTTGTTTATTGTATAGTATTTACTGTTTACATTTCTGTTCTGTTTTTCTCTATAACAAGCTCAAGATGATTCACATGACTCCGTTCTTTTCTCCTTGATCCCAACAATCCTGCAAGGCAGGTCAGGCTAAGAGATATAACTGGCTGCAGATCAATTAGGGAATTTCATAATAGAAAGGGGATTTGAACTCATGTTTCCTGAGTCCTAGCTCAGCACTCTAAATACTGCACCACACAGTCCCTGTTGAAAAGGGGGAAAGCAAAAGAATAGAATTGAAAACATTCTGGTACTTTGAGATTATATATGTAAGGTCATGAATATCTACAGTTTCCAGAGGATGGCTATTACATCAGTAAAGAAACTTACTGGGATAATGCTCCTAATAGCAAAGGGAAGGGGTATTCCACATTTTCAGCAGCAGCTGCTCTCAGACATATTACTGTAAAGTGTTTTGAGATTATTAAAATTTCCTAAATGAGAAGAGGAATGTGATCAATAAATTAAGGTCTCGTGTCTTATTTCTGGAATTGCCTTATTTAGAAGAGAAAATTACTGTTCCCTGTGATCTGAATTTCATCTGTAGGCCAGAGACTATGGAGGTAAACCAGACCTCTTGCTCTTGTATTAATTCTTAATAAATTAAATAGGTTTTGCCTCCTTGTACTTGTTTTATTGGAGACTTTGTTTTCTTCACCGAATGTGTTTGGCTTCCTAGGGTCACTTGACAAGTTTTCAGCAGTCTGGCTTTAACCGAGCAATGAGCAGTGTTTCATCATCTCCACGACAAACTATGGACTATGATGACGAGGAGACAGATTCAGATGAAGATATCAGGGAAGCATATGGCTATGACATAAAAGTTAGTATACAGTATGTTTCTGAACAGTGTCATGAGTGTCAGTTTTATTCCTGCACTTAGTGATGCTTGCCGTCATACAGTAAAGCTGATAGATGCATCCCAGTGTTTCAGTGTCTGTTGTGAAGGTTGCTGGTTAATCTTGCTGCAGAGTTTGCACTTGAATGAAATGATTGGGAACCGGCAAGAATGCAATGTCATTCTGAAAGAGGTATTGACACACACATACACACCAGTTATTATGAATGAAAAATTAAAGCAGAATTCAGGTTTCAAGAAATGAATACATTGCAGTAATCCAGCTAGAGTATTTCTAATAACAGGCCAATGAGAGTCTCAGTAGGATAACTAGATTTTGTTGTATATTTTCATATGTTTATGTCCTCTTTTAGGACAATGCCAGTGTAAAATCCTCAAGCAGTCTGGAACCCAACCTGTTCTGTGATGAAGAAATTCCAATAAAATCTGAAGAAGTTGTAACGCATATGTGGACAGCTCCTTCTTTCTGTGCTGAACATGCATATTCATCTGCTTCTAAAAGCTGCTCTCAAGGTAGTGCTGTTTTTATGTATAGATGGGGGGATCTAAGAGATTGTTTCATATCAGAATCCACTGTAACATAGTGTGGGCTGTCATGTAGGGAATTAACTACAGTTTTGTCTTCCACTGCTGTGCCTGAACAAAGTGGCTTTACATGCTTCATGCGTATAATTAAGGAAGATGTTACTACCAACTACCAAGAAATAGAGTATTTGAAACACTTCCTGAAGTTTTAACTGTTCTTAGTCCTTATATTAATGAAATAATATAAGGACTTCTCCTTACTTCTCCTGCTCCATCTATTGTCTTCTGTGGTTTGGCTTTTCTGACAGGTTCTAACACACCAAGGAAGCAGCCTCGGAAGAGTCCCCTTGTCCCTCGCAGTTTGGAACCCCCTGTACTTGAACTATCTCCAGGAGCAAAATCACAGCTAGAAGATCTGATGATGATAGGAGACCTCCTAGAGGTATCTCTGGATGAAACCCAGCACATCTGGCGGATCTTGCAAGCAACGCATCCGCCATCTGAGGACAGATTTCTCCATATCATGGAGGTAAAGGTGTTTGTTTGTTACAGAGAACTGTTTAGTTGCCCTGTGTTGATTTTCAGAAGATTAGTTGGCTTCCTCTATTAGCTTATTTCTCCTGTGTTCTTCTGTAACACAGGTTGCCTGAGGCATTACATGTTTACTCTACCTGAACTTCTGTTGCTATTTGTGCAGTTTGCTTTCTTACTTCTCCTTGAGTCCCTGCAAAGGATTGTTCTACTCCACATTCTTGCTCAGAATGCAAGTGACATCCTGGGGAATCAATCTTATAACCATTTAGAGGCAAGGCTTGTACAGCTATTTGGCTTCTTCTAGAGCAGAGTTTATTTCTAATTTACTTTCCTCTGCTGGGAAAGGCACAACTACCATGTTTCCCCAAAAATAAAACAGGGTCTTATATTAATTTTTTGCTCCAAAAATGCTTTAGGGTTTATTTTCTGGGGATGTTTTATTTTTTTCATGTACAACAATCTACATTTATTCAAATACTGTCATGTCATCTTCTTCTGGTTGTTGCTCAATGGTGGAGGGCGGAGTTCCATTTAACTGGGACTTATTTTTTGGGTAGGACTTATATTACGAGCATCCTGAAAAATCATACTAGGGCTTATTTTCAGGTTAGGTCTTATTTTCGGGGAAACGGTATCTTCACATTTGAATATTCAAGTTGTAGGCATTTTAGAGGAACATGTGCTGTTACTTCCTCTTGGCTTTCATTCTTGTTTTTTTCATTTTGAGAGGTTTCGTAGTGAGGAGATTATGCTAACCTTGCCAGCAACATCATTGATGAGCAACTGAGCAACTACTGGAGTCTCAGGCTCCCTGGCAGTCAATAAACATGGAGGTGTTTTTTTTCCAGCCAGCAGGTAGAGCTACATGCTCCTGACATGTTCACTGATACGTAGCCAAACTTAGTGCCAGTTGCATTCCATTAGATACCAGGGGCTCGTGTGGGGCAGCCACCAAGGCACTCCACTGTTAATGTTTCTGAGACATCCTTATCCCACTCCTTTTGTGGCCAGGGTAAGGAACTGTGAAGACAGATTTTTCTCTCACGGCTGGTTGGCCTGTACAGTAACAAGTTTCTCTGCCATGGGGGATAAAACTATCCTAAAATATTCTAGCTACTTGTTCAATACAACTGGAAGAGTCTAACATTCCACTTCATGAGAGGAGAACCTCATTCTGTGCTGAAAGAGTTGAAGTGCTTCAGGTTAGTTTAGGAATAACAGTTGTGGCTTATTCGGTGCCATTCTGTCTGAAATAATCACAGCTACTGTAAGGCCTTGAGGAAGTGGAAGTTGCAAGTGAATGTGAGTGAAATCAGAGCTTGGAAACAATGTATTAAAATTTTCAACAACAGTTTGAACATGAAAGTTGCAAAGCAAATCTTGTGTGTTGTTGATCCTCCATTCCAGTCAAAGCTGGACTGTTTAACAATTAAACACCAACAGTGTTATTTTAGAATAATGCTTTTTGCTCCATGATTGCTAATAATTTTAAGTTTTTTCTCAGTAATTTGGTCTTCATGAATTATTTTAAAAAATGAATTAACTTCCATGCATTTGCACTAACACTAACCTTTCTAAGCTTTGACTGGAATGGAGGATCAACAGCAACATGCAGTGTGAGGTCTGCTTCTTACTCCTGTTAACTCTGTCGTCATGCACAGTATTGTTATGTTGTGGAATCTTCTGACATACAGGAAGGAGTTTCTCTACAAGAAAGTCCATGATGACCTTGCTGGCTATTCCTGATAGGACTGTGGTGCTTTGGTGGCAAAGCAACTCTCTTTTAGCCCTTCCAGAGCTGCTCTGTCCAACTCAGGTTCCTCCTTGTCTTCTCATCTGAGCCCTTGTGCCAACTAATGTTCTCCAAAACTGCTCTTCTAAACATACCAGCTGTTAAAACTGGCTGGCTTGAATATGTCAGCAAACAATCCTTTGGTGCTGCTACCACTATGCTTTGGAATTATCTTCCTGAGCCTCTGCAAAATATGACATCCCTGTATGGACTCAGGAGGGCATATAAAATGAAATTGCTTTGTTGAGACTTTGGATGTTATTAAATTGCTATCCTATTTTAAGTACTAATCCTTTGCATATATTTCACTCTCTGTCCCTGTGAAGAATGTCTTTTCTTGCTTCATATCAGTTGTACCTGAATCTAAGCAGAATTATGAAGAATGAAAGTATGAGAACCAGATTTCCACTTTCAGCTGAAAGGAAGGATGAAATACATCAAATATAGTGTGTGCCGAGGAGAAAATTGAGTTTTTTTCAACCAAGTCAAGCAAAAAGCAGCGTTGCCGTCTCATAGGGTGTCTGTCGTGCAACTGCTTGCTTGACTGCTGTTAGGCACTTGGCAGTCGAACAGGATACTGGCCATAGCTTCCAACCAAAAGGTGCTCTGTAATTATTTTTCAAGGCAATAAAATAATAAATTATAGATTAAATTAGATTTAAATACATTGTCATTTTGTGTGTTTGTATGTTGGTGTAATACACACACACACAAACAAACAAAACAACATTGAAAAACAACATTGATATATAATAAAACAGTCCTATGCCTCCAGAGTAATAGTGGGCTTTTATTTTAATTGTGCAGAAATCTCTGTCCTATAGGACAGTGGTCCCCACCCTTGGGCCTCCAGATATTCTTGGACTACAACTCCCAGATGCTGTCACCACCACCTCTGCTGACCAGGAATTCTGGGAGTTGAAGTCCAAGAACATCTGGAGGCCCAAGGTTGGGGACCACTGCTGTAGGACATGGCCTGTCAGCCATTGAGATGATTTGGTTGGCAAGGAACTCTTTTTTAAAAAGAGAGAGAAAGATTTCTGTGTAAGGCTATCACAAAAATGTCAAAACATGACCGCCCAGAATGGCAGAAGATGTATTTCTCACTATTCAGGTATGTAAAAAAAGAATCACAGTAAGTTTGTGGTACAACTAAACAATAAATAACAGTCGCTCAACTTTTGAGTGAATACTATAGAATGATAACACTAGATGCTATGCAGTACACAGAACTGCAGCAACATCTTTTCTTCAGTATCATCACTGCTGTGTTTGTTCAGTCTAAAGAAAGATATGTTGCTTAACTCTTGCTTTCTGCTCTCTGTCACTTAAAGCTAAGAGAGCTTATATGAGGTGCAGGTGAGGAGATGCCACTTTTTCTACCTCTGCAGTGAATAAGGCTGCTGAAGTGTATCACACTGCACTTGCGCTTACTCTCTCTTTCTCCATGTATGAATATACATACACCTCTCTGGAGGACAAGATGTAGACTTTTTGGGAGTGGTCAAGTAAATGGAAATAATTCCTTGTCATTTTTCAAACAATGCCCCAGGAATAATTGGAATTACCTTAAAAGTATAATTTTTGTCAAATTGTTTCTTGAAGGATGATAGTATGGACGAAAAGCCTTTGAAAATGAGGGGGCGAGACTCTTCGGAGAGGAAACGCAAGCGCAAGCTAGAGAAAGCAGAGCAGTTGTTGGGCGAAATGAAGCAGAAATCAAAAGAGCTGAAGAAGTTGGAGAAGCCCAAGAAGAAGAAGCTAAAACTAACCATGGACAAGACGAAGGAGCTCAACAAACTGGCCAAGAAACTGGCTAAAGAGGAAGAGCGTAAGAAGAAGCGTGAGAAAGCAGCTGCAGCCAAGGTGGAGCAGGTGAAGGAGTGCACAGAGAAAAAGAGGGAGAAGAAAGTATTGGATATCCCTTCCAAGTATGACTGGTCAGGAGCTGAGGAGTCAGATGATGAGAACGCTGTGTGTGCTGCACAGAACTGCCAGAGGCCTTGCAAAGACAAGGTGGGTCACCTTGGCTGAACTTTATCAGCAGCCATTGCAAGCCTGCTTTGGAGTTCAGGGTTTACATTAATATTTTGCCAGCTTAGGTCCAAAGGGCAGAAACCACCAAACGTTTGTTCTGTAATAACTAACAATGAACTTTATGCTGTGCACTATTTTTACATATGTGACTGGGCTCTTGCCAATTGTATTTTGATTGTTTTCAGGCATTTAAGAGATGGTTTTTAAAAAAAGGGGAGGGGTGAATTTTAAAGTAGTTCTTCCCATCTGATCAGTTTTCCCATTTCCTCATCTTTCCTTCCCTGCTGGCACTCTAGAAAACCTGATGACTGACACCCAGGAGTTAATTCCAGACTTGAGAGAGAACTATTCCCAGGCCTTCTGTATATCGAAGTGAAAGTCTCTAAGCTGGCTGTGCGGTCTTCGTCTAGGAAAGTTAATCTTCCAAAATCTCTTGCATAAAGCCTGTGAGCCATGAGTCTGCAGGTTGAGGGAAGCCACATGCTGCACTGCCCCACTTTTCTTGCTGGAGGTAAATCTGCAGAGCTTTTAGAGCTGATCGGATTATAGCAAATTAAATCTCTTCCGCCCTGGAGACCTTTTTCAGGTCCACTTGCAGCAACTTGGGACTTCAGTTTCAGCTGTGCAGGAACAGTCTGCTGGAATCAGTACTCAGACTCAGAGCCGTTTTGTGCTTCTCTTCAGGGAAAATTCCACAAAGCTGCTTTGGAGGGGTGTGTGTGTGTGTGTGTGTGTGTGTGTGTGTGGGTACATCAGCAATGTTAGCTGGTGTGTATGTGAAGTAATGTTCCTGGTCATCTGGGAAAGGGAGAATTGCAAGTGAGCTGATAAAAGATGCATGTGCAGGTGAGCAACACACATTGCTATTAGGACAGTGTGATTCTTGCTGAGAATCTATCTGACACTTTGCACAAAAGCATTTCAAATGTCAGTCCTGCACAAGTGCATGAACTGCTGCAGAAATTTCCATATGCTGCATACAACAGTTTTGCTGCAGGATTTAGCTGCAGAGATCTAGGAAACACTGCGTGGAAATACTTCTAACCATTCTTCTTCTTCTTCTTTTGGACGGATCACTCCCATCATACACAGCAGCTCAGGGCAGATAAAAATGTATAACATCTGTATCAATTTGTTTTAAACTTCAAAAATGGTTTAGAAAATGGTTTAAAATATACTGCCAACTCATACTTATCCCTGTTGACTAAATGCCTGCCCAAAAGTGTATGTAGGGTCAATAGGTTGATAAGCATTGATAGGCCACAGAATGCAGAGTTTTCATGGCCACAGTGCAACCTTCAAGAAAGACTCACTCCATGCCTTTATTCTAACTTTTTCACTCTTATGTTTAAGACACACTTGATTGCTCTCAGAAGTTAATAGTTGGACACATGAGAGTTGATATTCTTTCACAGAGTGCAGTATCCAGACCTCATAGAGTAATAGGGGAGTCAGTACAGATGCTGAAACACAGATGTCTATGCCAGGTGAGTCATTGTGAGACATTTACCAAGCATTTGGTGACAACAGAATTTTCTAACAGAGATCAAAATTCATATAGCATCATAACCCTAAAGCTATGAGGGTAGAAATAGAGGATGCGGTTTTCTTGTCTTAAGTACTAGAGATATATATTTGACCATTGCCACAAGAAGTACTGGAAGTTTGTGGAACTCAACTCATGAGCCTAAGGGGCCTCCCTCCCTTTTTGTTTATAATCTCTCTCCCCACCTGGTTTGGCTCTTAGTAGAACTATTAATCATAACTGTTTTTGCCTTGCTTTGATGGGTTTCGTTTCATTTTTTTCTTTGGTGGTTAGACTGAGCATAGATTCAGAACCTGCACTGAATAAAAAGTAGCTTGTCTTTGACCGTGGATAACATTTAATGAAACAAAACTGCAATTGGATTGCACTATGGAGCTGCCTAAAGAAAGGACTGAACAATATGGTCCGTTTTGTTTTGTTAGGTACATTACTGTGCCACCCATCTAGTGGCCAGACACTACTCTGGGCAGCTAACAACAGTTAAGAAAACAGAACTACCCACCACAACCCACAGAGACACAAATAATGAGATCCAAACAAGAACAATAATAACCCAAAATATAAATGAACCTTGATGCAGTGGTGAGTCAAGATCAATATCCAGTTCAAGGATCCATGAGAATTCATGAGGCCTTTACTAGCCTCTGTGATTTACCTCTTAATAATGAACGGAGTTGCCCTAGTGATTCTGTGAATGCATGAATGCTGGTTCTGCAACGGTGGCACTATTTCTTGATGGCCATTTCTTTCAAAGGATGCAAGAATGCCTAAAAAAGGTTGGGAGGATATTTCTGCTACTCTAGGTGGAAATTACACCCCCCCCCAAAAAAAAACACAGTTGCAGTCTCTATGCCTTTTACATTGCAATCCACAATGTCATGTTTAACAGAAAACTTAAGTTTCCAGGGTATAGTTCATTGCTTGGAAAAGGCCCTCTGGTTGGGAGTCGGTAAATTATAGTAGCAGCAGAGGAAAGGCGCTGTGTTAGTTGTGTGAATAGTGTCACTTGTCTCTGTCCTCTTCATGTATATTTGCATTACATGCCGTTAAGTCACACTTTACTTATGGCAGCCCTAATAGGGTTTTCAAAGTATGTAAAATATTGAAGTAGCTTTTCCAGTGTCACTGCCCAGTGTGTTTTCATGATCAAGCAGGGATTTGAACCCAGGTCTCTTGCATCTTGGGTCCTTCACTCTGTCTACTACACTGGCTCTCATTCATGTACTTTTAGTCACTCTTCAGACAGCCAGATTATCAGTGAAGAAAGGTAGATAAGGATTATTGGGAACAATTTCTGTTAAAAGTCAGCCTTGCTGTACACATCAATCAGGCTGTTGACAGATGAGTATTACTGGGTAAACCCTGCAGAGCTGTAGATTCTAATTAGCTTCATGAATGCAAAAGCGCACCAATCTAGCTCATTTGCCATTCCAGGGCACAGGATTGACAGTAATCAGACTGAAGCAGGTATTCTCCCCACCTTTTCCAGTAGTGCATTTGGCAGCTTTATGAAGCCCCAGAGTATCTGCAGCCAAATATTGGAACCAGATATTGGAGTCAGTCAGTGGTTGTCATGAGAATCAAGAGGTTCCAAGCCAGCCCTAAAGAACTGTCCTTGGTGTTCATGCTAAGACTGATCAGGATGGTGGTTCTGCCACTGTAGAAATATACCGGATTTCATGGGCATCATTCTCCTAAGGAACAGCCAAGGTATTGCACTATACGCAAGATCAGTGATCTTGTCTAGGATTAAAAAATGAATATCCCTTGATTAAACAGCAGCAATGACGTGGGGAGAATTTTTTTGCAACCCAAAGGTAGCCCTCCCACTGGAGGCAGAAGCAATATCTTTTAAAATTATTTTTGAGGTTGTCAGGAGACAAGACAGGCTGAAATTGAAAAGCAAGGAGAATTGGATAGAAATGTTGGAATATCTGTGAATGTACTGTGCTTGATTTACCCTCCTTGACCAGAAGACAGACTTTTCCAAGTTAAAATTCTTTTAGTAGCTGAAAGGAGAACTTAAGTTATACTTCTGAAGTTGGTGGCATATTGGTCTCTTTGCCATTAAGTTAATGATTTCACCCACTTCTTGATTCTTTTTATATGTTGTCAACATTGTCAAGCCACTAAATGGTGGCCATTAGCCCTCTGTCACGTGGGTGCAAAAAACAAACAAACAAAAAACAAACAAAAAACTGGACCAGAATTCAGTGGTCACTGCTAAAAGCCAAGCAGTAAGCTTGGTTTAGAACAGCAAAGGGAAGCAGAAATGCTGTTTTAAGCACTGAAGAGGGCTTGTGAATTTTATAGCAGATAACGATGTGCAAATTTGGTGAAATTGTAAGTTCTGTTCAAGCACAACAACTATACAGTTCATGGAGAAAATACAGTAAAATTTGGTGGTACTTGAACATCAAAATTCTAAGTGTTTATTTACTTATTTATTATATTTATACCCTGTCCATCTAGACTGAAGTCTACTCTGGGTGGCTATATATATATTTTTATTTAGAGTTTATTTAGAGAAGAGAGTTTTCAGCTTCACACCGTGGGTGGATTAAGTATATGAAACTTGCTTCCAGCAAGTCATCCACCCCAATACTGTTTACTCAGACTTAGATTAGAAATTTGGGTTTGTGAAGATTGAAGAAAGAATTTTTGTAGAAGTTCTAATAATGAGCCATGAACTTTCCCTTTAGTTTGAACATTCCTTTTAATTTTGTTTTAGTACATGGACAAACTCACAGATGTCACCTTTGAAGAAGGCTGATTTGTGCCTCACGACAGTTTACTTCCTAAGGCATTTTTAATTCCTTGCTGATGAGGATAACCCAATAGGAAATGGACTAATTATGAGGATAGTCAAATATATAATTATTTTAGAAAGTAGGCTATAAATGTATAGCAGCCACTGATTCAAGGTCTCTGTTTCTATGGTAGCTTAATTAGAAATAACTGTAATTCAGAACTGTAGTAGTTCTAAGGTTATTTTTTATCTGTGGCATTATGTCTAGCGGACTTATGAAACCCAAAGCTTTTAGTTCACTTACTTGTAATAGACCCCTCTGGTATGAAGGCTTATGGAAGTATTCTGTGTTGGTATTATAAAAGAGGTATTGCATGGTTCTCAGACTCTCGAGATGTTCATGCTCTAGAAACCCTGCTTATATACAGAATAGAAACTGGAACACAGTTGCAACATCTAAACCACAAGAGACTCTTGTGGTACTTTGATTTCAAAACTGAAGTGTCTCCAGGTAACCCTACAGTATGGGGCTCTTCCTTCTCACAGACTCTTCCCTGGGCCCCACCCATTTCCATTGAGCCTCCAAGTTTGGTGGTCGGTGTCTCCCTTGGTAGATTCTCAGCCAAGTGTTCTGCACTCCTCAATCTGTCCCCTTGAGCAGCTTTGACGTTACCTGGGAACAAGAGATTCAGGTATGGAAGCTTCTGGTGTAGTTAGTGGTGCTGCTGTCAGGCTGAAGATAGGTCAGATGGGACCTCTGTTCTGTTATCTGAGGATGCCTGATTTGGTAAAGAATGATTGCCATGTGTTAACCCCTGCTTTTCTAGTGTCTTCTGAATAGTACTGTAGTACATGAGACCTTTCTGGCTCTGTAATGCTAAGCCAGAGAATTCTGTACTTTTTAATGTCCCCATCCTCTCTCCTTTGCAATGTAATTAATGCAACTCTGTTGTCTCTTACAGGTAGACTGGGTGCAGTGCGATGGTGGCTGTGATGAATGGTTTCATCAAGTTTGTGTTGGTGTCTCTCCAGAAATGGCAGAGAGTGAAGATTATATCTGTATAAACTGTGCAAAGAAACAGATGCAGGGGCCAGGTAGTCCAACACATGCACCACCACCTCATTTCCTGGTGACCTACAAGCTACCCATGGAGGACCTCAAGGAGACAAGTTAGCGGCTGCTTGGTCTTGCTGGGACTTGAGGGAAACGGAACACTAAGAAGGTGGTGTGAAGCTAACATAGCCACTTGGAATGCTGCACTTCTGCGGACGTACAGCCCTACGGCAGAGCTGGCCCTGTCTTGCTGGCTTCCCTTATATGAAAGGAATGTCATGGGCACTGGGGTATGGGCCCAGCTATGCAGATACAACAACCCCCGTTGGAAGTCCCAGCCAGTATTTTTACTCCCATGTTTCCTACATAAGGCTAAGTGCAGCTGCTGCCTTCCAGTTGAGCAGATGTGAGGCCCATGGATTTTGCTTTTCTGCTTTAGCAGTTTTAAATTTGGGGCCATTGCTGTGAATCCAAAACTGGATGAGTTTGCTGCATAATGGCAGCTTGATTGCGTGGAGACAATGAAGGCTCCCTTTCAACCTCTTCTTGTAGTTGAGGCACCAAGGCACTGTTATGTGGATAAGAAACCTGCTTTAAGCACCATGCAGGAGGAGGATATGAGTAGTGGGGGGAAAAATAAAATAGTTCCTGTTTTGATGTTAGAAAGCAAAGGAACTTTAGCTCTTCAAAACATGGGTTTAGTGTTTACCCTAATTCCTTTAGGGTGCCTCCCCTTCCTGGGGAAAGCTCATGCCTACATTAACATGTAGCTGAGATATCTCCTCAGCAAAACACTCCTTCCTACACTAGTGGCTATTTTCCTCTGTCTTAACTTTTACCAACACCCTGTCACTAAGTTATCTGAAGCAAAGTGAGGCTAGCAAAGTGGGTATCCTGAATGCATGGGATGAACGACACGGACTGAGAATAATCCAACTTTCTCACAACTTCAGACTGACATGCTTTTGTGAAAACCTCAACTCACAATTATTCCCAGCATCATGACAGTTTCACGATTCCAATAAGCAGTCCACAGATGCAGATTGCAGCCCTGCTTCCTTGCCTTTAGGTTTCGATGGATTGAGGGCCTGTGCTGGGCTACAAATCCAACTTGACCTTTCCCCCCCCTTGCTTTTCTGAAAGACAGGTGGCTTGGGGTGTGTGTCCTGGGTGACAATTGTTTTAGTAAACCCATTTTTTAAAAAAGGACTGGTTTTTACTTTTTTCTATGTCTCGGACTACTGACTTGTTCTATAAAAGATAGATTATTTTTCTTTGTTTTTATACTTAAACCACGGTTACCAGCAGCACAGAAAAAAATACGAGAGAGAGAGAGAGGTTCACTAAACAAAAACCTGCCTGCAGGCTTGGTTTTGTTTCTTTCATTTTTTAAAATTCCTTCTTTCCTTGTAGTACAAGGAATTTAGCAGTTACCCCCACATCCTTGCCCCTCCTGCTGCCTGTGTTTAAATAGGTAAAACATTTCATGTGCTACTTTTGTGTTGGGGTTTGTTCTGTTAGCAAGGCATCTTGGTCCTTGCAAGTCTCCCAGTTTATGCTGGCTTTTTTGTAAGTGAGTGGCTGAAACCGGCCATAGTGCTGTCTCCCCCTCCCTCCCATTATCTATTGTGTTCCCATCCTTCTACAGTTCTAGGAGTGCTGTAACTATAGTGTCCAGTCTTATTAGATGCAGGGGTTGGGATTTTCTAAAAGATAAAATCTGTAGTGTTCTGCCTTGACTGTTTTGTGTCCCTTCTGTTATATCCGATACTTGCAGATTTCACTGACAAGCAGCTCTGTCACAAAGCACTACATTAATTTCTTATGTCTGCACATAATGCACTTTAGATAACTAGACTATGTGGGTGAGGAGGAGCTCTTTGGACATCAGCAGGTACCAGCCCCCAACACTATCCCCTGGATACTATCCACTATCCCACTATCAGCTTGACCGAAGAAATCTGTAAAGATGGTACTCATAGGTTTATTGTATGTTTCAGCAAGATGCTGAAGAGTCAATCCATTCTCTTTTGTTTCTGAAATATATTGCAAAACAGCTTGCCTCTTCAGCAATCAACATGGTTGTAATTGAGAAAGTGCCCCCCCAGTGATTAGCTAAGCTTTTTCTTATTCATACATACACATTGTTGAATTGTAAATTGAGCTCTAATTCAAAAGACAAGCCTCTTGCAAATGGTGGCCATAAAATCAGAATATTCAAAATAATAATTAACCAAAATACTGATTCTGGGTTAACAAAGCTTCTTAAACGTTCTAAAGTTATATAGGAAGCTCACGCTGATAGAAGCACAATGGATTTCTGAACAAAATGAATAGAAAGTGCTTTCAGGAAATACAACAGATTGAATGTTTTAGTTTAGGCAGGTATATTTTTCTTCATAGTGACACATGCAAAGAGGATTTTAGCACCTGCATCTTCTGGAATACATTAATTATGTGGGAACAGTTCCACCAGCCTTTTATTTCCTGAGTAAGTGCACCTCAGCTTGAGCTCCCCACTTATTTTCTGTCCACCACTAGAAGAACGTCTTCTGGAGCATTGACCTGATTGCTATGTTGATGCTTTTTTTTTGTTTGTTTAATCTGTCTTATTGGGTTCTTCCCAACTATTCTGCTCTTTGCAGGCCTTGCCCACTTCTATGGCCTTTTCAAGAAGTGCCCTGACTGAGGAGAAAATTGCCCATATAGGTGGTCACTCCTATTGTCATTTTTTGTCTTGGGGAGTATTACCTTTCCCAGTTGTGTTCCTGTTTACTGTAGATGCATCAAGCAGGAACTTAAGCTGCCTCAGCAAAGAATGACTCTCTGTTTTGGGGATAAATCATTATGGGCAGGTGGTCAGGCAGACCAGAATATGCCTATTTATATTCCTTCAGCGAATATCTGCAAATGTCTTTATTGAGCAGGCCCTTCCTTTGACATCCCAGTGCCATTCAAGGCTGGTATGATCAGCACCACCATTGGTCTGATCAGACAAGGTCAACATCCATTTCAGTGCCACCTCCTGGATTCTCTGCTTTCTGCTCCCCTGATACCTGGGAGTAAATGTCTCTGTTGAGACCAAAGAAACATGCCTTAAAATGTCATGCTAATGAAGAGGGATGTGAAAGTTAAGACAGCAAAAAAATAAGGTACTATATTCTCCATCTTCTGCCTCAGATGGGATATCCACCTTGGTTAGCATCTCAATTGCTCTCTCAAATGTCAATCCTTTATATATCTGACCTCTTTTCAGTTGCCCTCTCCAGTTTGAACTTGCGCATAAACTTGGATATCATATCCATTGATCCTTCACCTTCAGTTCCTCCTAATTCTTTGCCTGCTTTAGCTCCAACTTTTGATATCAGTTCAACACCGTTCTCTGCTATTTCCTCTGGCTTAATTTCCTCTGTCTGCCTTTTACTTTTGTACAGTTTTGACTATATCCTCCATCTTGAGCTCTGTCTCATGTGTTTTCCTATCCAGCTTTTGCTTTCTCATCTCAGTGTGGGTAGTCTCATGATTTCTGCAGAGGAATCCTCCACTGAGGATGAGCTTGAGGATCTGGACATTCCAACTCTTGATACAACGTGCTTGATTCTAGAGATCCTCAATGCTCTGGGAACCATGAGCCTAAGCCTGCAGATTCTGGACCTCTTGGGACCAAGGAATTTGAGCCTGTGAATGATGGGAGTTCATGAGGAGAGTCTGAGGAAGAAGTGGGATGACTTCCCAGCTCTCAGGAATTAAGTAGGCTAAAGGCATGAGCCTGGTTTGAAGCTTTGAGGCAGAGTAGTTGGCTGCAGGGGAGGTTTCCTTGTGAGTAAGTGGTCTCATCATAAGTGGGCTCTTAAGACGATTCAGAGGTAGAGATGGGGATATTCATATATGAATATCTCCAGTGCAGCTGGACCTAATGAGGGTCTGGCCCCTAGGATTGGAATGTCCACTCACGGGTCTTGCCACAGTGCTGGTCATACTCGTCCTTCCAGTGGTGCCCGGAGCTTCTCTCCTCCTGTTTGGCTGGCCACTCCAAATATCCCCATCTCTACTCAGAAGCTAAATCCTGCAGTTGGGTTCTTTCCTTCAATACCTACAGCTGTGTACTGGGTAGAGCTCTAGTAGTTCAGCTGGAATATTTATTTATTTTGTATCATTTGTAAGGTACTTTTCTCCTGTTAAGGAACCAACTGGGAGAAAGAGTCTGCAGGCTGCTGGAGGCAGCTTATTTTGACAGCCTCTGACTTGTTCCGTGAATCCCTTGCTTCAGATTGCCTGGGCCTTGTTTGACAGTTTGCTTCTTGGAGTATGATTTTGGATTGCCTTGCATGGTTGTCTGCTGTGGTGAGCTTACTGTTGCTCCTTCTCCTGCTTCATCCTTTCTGGGTCTGGAATTTTACTAGCTAGCAGATTTGCTTACCTCCCCAAATGAGGAACAGAACAATCAACTTGAAGAGATCTTCCAGGGGTCTTTCACATTGTGTGATAGATGATATACATGGTGCTGACTCTATCTCAGGATTTGCAACAAAATACCTTCTCCATCCAAGACTCTCATGCCTTGTGTAGATCTTACAAAAGAGACATCTTCCCTGTGTCCAACTGGTCTCATGGCTCCAGAGAGCAATTGTATTGTACTCACCCTCTGCAGTCCTTGTCTCCAACTCCATATGGCTATTCACACTCAATGAGATTATATTCACAGTGATACAGATCTCGGCAGCACTCTTCTCATCACCAGGATGCCTCTCTGTGCTGTGGAGACTTTGCTATTCCTACTGCTTTGAATGGTACAGCTGTTTGGATCACCACATCCATCAGCACCATTATACTTTCCTTCCTCTTCAGCCTCAAGAAACTCACCATACGATGTCTCTGCTATCTTTGATGCCTCTTTGTCCTCCAACGTCATAGTTTCTTTTGCAGTAGTTTCCTACATCACAAGCTATCACTAGTGATAAGTTGGCCCTCACTATCATTTGGGAGGGAGGAATCTGCCATTCGTACAAAAACTTGCCTTCTTTGGGTGTAACAAAAACAATGTCATCACATACAATTAATACTGTTCCTTTTTCACTATGGATTGTGGGCCAGCAAGGAGAAGATTTGTCTCTTAACTGTCTTGGACTATCCAATTTATTGGCGCTTGATTGGTCTCTGTTCTGGCTGAGGTTTTCCTCCTCCTTTCATAGTGTCATGCTTGTATATCGTATCTAGACCTTCAATCGCTGGTGTATTTGAAGCAACTGCCTCTTCTACTTGAGAGCTTCACTATTTGTCAGGCATCCAAGAAGCGTTCCACCAATATTTCTCTGAGAGGAAATGGAATGCCTTTATTGTCTGTTACCGTAGCTTATGATTTTTCATCTCTGTCTTGCAATGTTTCTCAGGTTGTTCAGGTTCTACTCTCCCTCCAGGATTATGAATTCTCCTTCTCATCCATTAAAGTTTGATGTCACCTCTATAACTGCCTACTGTGCCACATTGCTTTATGCCTCATCTCTCTTTGGTGAATCTTTGATGAAGAGATTCCTGGAAGACTGTTGGAACATAATTCAGTTGATGTAAATCTCAATTTCATCTTCTCTTATGAAAAATGGCTTTGCTTGTCTCCATAGCATGTGTATAGAAGGCCTTCAAGTTATATGCACTGTGGCCTGATCCATCTTATATGAGTGTTCATGCTGACAAAGTAGTGCTTTTCTCTGGTATCTCCTTCATCCCAAAAGTTGTGTCCTATTTTCCTTAATTAAGGTATCACCTTATCTGAATTCTACTGTCTCCCATTTTCTTGGCTAAAGTGTACACTACATACTTGAATGTTCAGAGGGCAATAGCTGTTTATATTTTCAGGACGGTGCTTTCTGTTACTCTACTTTTTATGTTGCCAGTCCATGATGGGGCCTTCCTGTCTCTTCTAGCACATTACTCATTGGAGCACAGGCTGCATCTAACATCCTGGATGGCTTGCCTACTTTCTGCTGATAGAGTGAGAAACCACTCTTACTATATTGTGATGTTTGTAGCACTTCTGTATAGGGACCCCTTACCTGATATTTGCTTGGCAGCTACATAGTCCAAGCCGTCTATGTTCATTTGCCATTATCACCTGGATGTTTGAACAAAGGTTGATGCTGCCCATGGAAGAGGCATTCTGTCATCAATCTTCACTTGACACCACCCTTCTCTAGTAGGTTAGCTAACTCGTCCACCATTTGGACGAGTTCAGAGTGGTATAAATATACCAGATGGGAGGGATATAAATCAAATAAACAAACAAACAAACAAACAAACAAACATGTAAAAGAACAGTTTCCAATCCTGTGGAAACGGATTCTTCAAGTGGATATCTCTGAACTCTTACAATTCACCCTCCTTCCCTCTTGGTGTCCTCTTCTGCTTTATCCATTATTGGTGGTAGAGCAAAATTGAGGGGCTTAAGCTGAGATGCACATACTCCTGTGCCAGTAAGACAGTGGAAGTGGGGTTTCCAACTAACTGCTTAGTTTTAGAATGTTCCTGATGATCCTCTGCTCAGATACAGAAACCTCACTTGTGAGTTCACAGATGACTTAGAGAACAATTCAAAGGTGACTTCTTATTACTCATCTTTACTTTCTGATAACTGGTCTTTCAGTAGCAAATATAATTAAGGTAAAACAAACGTTTGAATTTTTTTCTGTTTTGATAAAGATTTGGCAGAATGCATGTACAGTTTCTCAATCTCAAATTACTTTCT